ATCATGTTAGATTTTCAGCTTGTTTGGCAGCTAAGGGTCTTAAGCCTAAGGCCTTGGGGGGTATCAAGTTCAATGAAGATGTTATGGTGGACATCAGTAGTGACTCCTCTAGCTCGAACGTTGTTTAGGATGCTGAAGCAGTTTTCGAAGACGGGGACGATATTGGCTCCTTCATGGAGGGGTCAGATACTTCTTTTCTTCCTTAATGTTTATTTTATCGTGGAATGTTAGAGGTTTAGATGATATCAGATGTAGAAATGACATTAAGATTTTAATTCAAAAGTATAGACCTAATATTGTAATTTTGCAAGAACCTAAGTCTACTGGTCCTAATTTTGCTATAGTTCTATCTCTTGCGGGCGCCAAATTTACTTGGTCCAATAATAGTGAGGCTAATTTGGTAATGTCTAAGCTGGATCGATTGCTGGTGAATCGGGATTGGATGGAAACCTTCCCTATGGCAAATGTAAAAGCATTGCCAAGACTTTCATTTGATTGCATTCCATTATTACTTAATACAAATTTAATCAGTGGTGGATTGAAGTCGTTTAGGTTGGAGCTGGGTTGGTTAGATGAACCTTGGGTGGTTGATTTAATAGAATCTACTTGGGAAAATTCAATTAGCTTTAGTTTGATTGATTTTCAGCTTCATAAAAACTCCCAAATATTAAGCATAAATTGTTAGTATGGAACGTTGAGAACTGGTTATCTCTTAAAACCAAAATCTACTAAGTCCTTGATATCCAGAGCTGGGATCAGAATGTTCAAAAGACGAGTCTCATTTCTGAGGTTGACCTGGCTAATAGAAATAATTTTTTGTCCTCTTTGGATGAATTATTTAGGCTGGAAGAGATTTATTGGAAACAAAAGGTATACGGTGAAATGGCTTAGAGAACGTGATCGTGATACTAAGTTTTTTCATGCAATTGCTAGTGCTCGAAGGAGACAATGATATTTTGGGCCAAGTGATTTCTGATGTTGTTGAAGATGATAATATTGCATGGTAGACTAGTATTATTTCTCATTTTCAAAAGTTTTGCCTATAGAAATTCCCTTTAACCATAAGCTAGATAGCTTAGCTTTTTATTCTATTCCCTCTATGGTTGCAGATAACCTTGAAATTAGGGTATCGATGGAAGAATTAAAGAGAGTTGTGTTAAAACTTCCTGGGGATAAGTCCCCTAGACTGGATGGCTTCCCGTTATTCTTTTTACAGTGGTTTTGGCAGATGGTTAAGGTGGAGTTATTGGAGATGGTTAGGGATTTTATGGAGACGGGGGAATTCTTTAAAGGTGTGAATGCTACTTTTATAGCATTAATCCCTAAGAGATCTGTCATTTCTTCTCTCTTTGATATGAAGCCCATCAGTCTCCTTACTAGTCTTAATAAAATTGTCACCAAAATTCTAGTAGAGAGGTTAAAGACTATCCTTCCTTTGCTCGTTTCTAACACCCAGTCGACCTTTATTCAAAATAAATTGATTTTTGAGAGTGTGCTCGTTGCTTAAAAGTATATTCACTCGAGGTTGTTAAGCAGGGAACCGGGTGTGGTGACTAATGGAAGCTCAAAAGGCTTTTTCAGGGCTTCTAAGGGGCTTAGACAGGGAGACCCTCTATCATTGCCCAAAAGGCTTTTTCAGGGCTTCTAGGGGGCTTAGACAGGGAGTCCCTCTATCATTCTTTTTTTTCACCATGTATGCAGAATGCTTCAGTAGAATGATTAGCAATATAGTGGATAGGGGGAATTTTACAAGCTTTAAGGTTGCTCAGAATGGTATGCGAATCTCTCATCTTCAATATGTTGGTGATACACTCTATTTCGTGATGTGAATATTGCCCAAATTAATAATATTGAGAGATTCTTGACTTGCTGTGAGATGTTAATGGGTTTGAAGGTTAATTCTTGAAAAACAACAATGATTGGCGTGAATTTTGACGACGAGGTGGTTCGAGATCTAGCTTTGAGACTTAGGTGTAGGGTGGATGTGTTTCCATTCATATATTTGGGTTTGCCTATCTCAGATGGGAACTTACCCATTGTTGCATGGGACAATGTTATACAAAGAGTATAATTTAAGCTAGATCTTTGGAAGCCTATGTACCTCTCTTTTGGAGTCAAGTTACCTTGTTAATTTTGTGCTTAGCAAATCTTCCAATATATCATATGTCCTTATTACTTAGGCCAAGAGCTATGGTGAGGCGTATTGAATTCATGATGTGCAATTTCTTATAGGGTTTCTTTTGGAGAAGAAATGAAGTATCATCTTATTAGGTGGGATAAAGTGTTTACACCAAAGAATGAAGGGGGTCTGAGACTGAGAAGATTGTCGCTAATGAATACTACACTTTTGTGCAAATGGTGGTGGAGAAGCATTCACTGTAAAGAGCATCTTTGGTGTAAAGTGCTTGTGTCTAAATATGGTGTGAATAGTTTTGGTATGTGGATTAATAAAGGAGATGGAAGGGATAATACTTCCTTTCTTTTGAGAGATATTTATGCTTTCAAACAGGTGGTGGATCTCAATGTTAGATGGTTGGCTAGTTCGTGGGCTTCGGTATAATTCTAGCACCATAAGTGGTTGGGAGTTTACCCTTAAAATATGTTTATTCTCTTTTATTTGAAAAAGTCAGTTCTTCCCAAGCTACGATAGACGATTTAGTGGAAGTTATAGGTGATAAGGTTAGTTGGAACATCACCTTCCCTTACAATAGAATTCAAAGTTATCTTTATCTGCCGCTTATCAACATTTTGTAGGACTATGAGCAGACGTTTATCAATTAAGATTATGATGACGAATTAGTGTGGGAAATAGAAAATGATGGGCAGTTTTTTGTCAAATCTGTTTACAAACTACTCTTTTTTTATAGAGTGCGATGAAATCTTCTTAAGTTTCACAGATTTGGAGATGGACTCTTCCTCATAAAGTGTAAGTTTTCTTTTGGTTAGCAGCTCAAGAGAAAGTTTTTATTGTTGATAATCTGAATAAGAGAGGGAAGATAAATTACGAATGTATGCTTAATGTGTAAAGAAGATGGCGAAACTGGGGCACACTTGTTTATTCATTGCTCATTCATATCCAAAATTTGCTGGTGGTATATTCAATGATGGGGATAAATCTAATTTTACCACAATATGTTTTGGATTTGGTAACTCAAATGTAGGTGCCTTTTCCGAAAATTGGTGGATCTAGTTGGAAGATTTGACAGGGAGCTGTCTTGTGAGAAGATTGGTTAGAGATGAATTAGAGAACATTTAAAGGGGTGGTTTGTAGCTTTAATAGGGTGTTAAATAACATCAAACTATCTCTATGGACTTGGTTGTCCATTACTAAAGAAGGAAGGGGAATATCTAAGATTGGTATTATGATTAATCTTTCTAATCTATTTCAATTGGATGTACTTAGAAATAGGCCATGCGCTAGATGAAAGCTACCTGACCAAGGTGTTTTCAAGTTGAATTTTGATGGTAGTTCTTTGGGCAACCTAGACCTAGCTGGATTCGGTGGAGTGGTCTATGATTGGCAAGGAAATGTAATAGTTGCATTTGTTGGCCGGTGTAGAGTTACCATGGAAAACCATGCTAAACTACTTACTAACTTCCATGGTTTGAAATTATATGTAGCCCGAAATTTTGGAGGTAGATTCATTATTGAAGGGGATTTGCTAAATGTTATTAAATGGTGTAAGAAATAGCAACGCTTCCCTTGACAACTTAAATTGATTGGTTTGCAAATCTTTGATTTGATGTCATTTTGACTTTATAGGTAGAATATGTATATAGGGAGGCAAATGATATGGATGATTTATTGGCTCAGAGGGGAGTAAATTTGGATTCTCTTGTGATCTCCGATTTGATATAAGTTGCATCTATTATTAATAAATTTTGAATTCTGTTCAAAAAACAAAGAGTGGAAAAATAACTGGAATAAAGTAAATAAAATAAATAGTGACTTTCTAACACCAAAATTTACGTAGTTCACATTTTCAGGCTACATCCACGAGTGAAAGAGATAAGATAAAATCCACTAATATTTAATAGAGTACAATAATCTTCAAAGACGCAAGCTCTCTTGGGTTCTCTAGATTTTTCTAATAATTTTCTCTCTAGGTTTTCCCTTCTCTAAAGTTCTCTTTGAAAGGTTTTCTCTTTGGTTGGGTTTATCTCCCTCTTAGGTTTTCCCTCTCTCAGAGGTACTACAATAAACTTATAAGAACTTTCTCCTCTCTCTAATAGGTTTCTCTATCTTTTCTCCTCTCTACAAGGATCACCTTTCTCTTGCAACAAAGTGGCACACACAAGAAGAGGAGCACATTTTTCTGTCACTTCAAGAAATAAAAAAACTATAGCCTCTCGCATTGGTATTTTTGTATAGGGTGCAGTTTTGCATACGGATACATCCGGTGCACCTAGAAATTTTATCATGGTATATAATTTTGATGTAAAATGTTCTTAGAATTATCTCAAAATCTATTTTTATATCTAATTATAAAAGTTTTAAATTTCAACAATGGTTAAAATCAAGTAGATCTATAAATATATAAAAATCTTGATAATGGACGGTGCAGATAATATGTTATAAAATGCACTAGTTTTGAGATTTAAAATCTTTTTATTTTTCATGGTCATACATCTCAATGTCGAGATGATCAATCAACGGGTTTTTCAACATTAAAACTACGTTTTCAAATGGATTTTTAAAGTGCATATGTAGTTCTACATTATAAGGTTGCATCCTTATATAAATTTTTTCCTTTTATATAGCCTTAGACTTGCCTAGCATGTCATTATTTTCGCTCAAACTTGTAACAACCCAAAAATCTAACGTGAGACATTCCCTGGCTTGAAGAACAAGTCAACTCCATTATGTTAAATACATGCCCCAGCTCAATGGGATAAAGAAATCGTCCCACATGGGACAGGTTTCCCCTAACAAGGTATAGGAAATGTGGCTTGAGGGTAGGGCCAGGAGTGGTCCAACAAGGACCGAGCTAATGTGCGCCTCAGCCAAGCCATCCCTATTTGGCCCAATCCGGCCCTTTTATTCTTTATAATTTTTTTATACTATCATTTTTTCCATTTGGCCCGCCTGCCCAAGCCGGTCCCCACCTGAAGGGGGCTTGGCCCAAGGCCTCTTGGGCCCTGTCTCAGCCGGTCCAGGCCTCTAGGGCTGGCATGCCCCGTTGATAAAAAGAAAATTGGGGCCAAGAACCCTTGCAGAAAAAATATTATAAAAAGTAATGCGAGAAATATTCAGTCTCTTTATCATTTTTTATTTTTTATGCGATAGAATGAAATCTCAGTTGATTCGATTACAAATTACTGGTTAATATTTTTACATTTTGTTGTTTGCAGGCGTTCCTAAAAGCCATGGGATGCAACGTGGCAAAGCATGAGCACCCCCACCTTGATTATACAGGCAGGAACGCCCTTTTTGCTTAATCCCATTTCAAAGGCCCTTGCACTTCCCAACCTATCAATGTTCAGGTGCCCTTTCTTTTTCTTTTTTTCTTTTTTTGGCATATTTTCCAAAGATAACGCTTTTAATGTTCCAAATATGACAACGTTTTTATTATTTTAATTTCTCTTTTTTTTTTTTTTTGAAGTAAAGAACCGTTCTGAGGCCTAGGTTCTTGAATTGCTTTGCTTCTATGAAGATTGTATAAGCCAAGTACTCCTAGGTCTAGCACATAGGACCAATCCTTGGACTGCGGATTTCAGTTCTAAGATCAGTCCAAGGTTTTAGAATATGAACAATTTGGCTTCTTTGGATATTGGGTAAACCAAGCGGTACGAGGCTTCAGATCTCGACCCCGTACTTGGATAACTACTTTCATGGTCTAGGGACTGGTCTGAGGTTTTAGATCTCTAACCGCTCTCCTTCCACAATGTTCCACCGAGCCAAGCAATTAGATGCCTGGGATATTGGACTTGTAGACTTACAATTATAATAAATCTTGGACCTCTGCTCCATAATTACCATGGTACAGATGCAAATTACCCTTTTCAAGAACTTACAATCGACTTAGTCAAGTACACCAGACGACTAGGGTTTGGATGGCAAGTCCTGGTACTATTCTCATGAGACAGCAGTGTCTTACCAAGTTGATTTGGATTAGGACTACTAATTGGATTACGTGCCTTGCACTGTGAAATATCATGAAAGTTAATAAAACAAATGCCACCCTTGATATTATATATATATATATATATATGAAAATACACCTAACTTTAAACTATTAAGATTTTACCCCTTTTTTATTATTTCATCTCATGTTTATTTTTTATTTTCATGTATTTTGCAATTAAATCAAAATTATTTGTAAAATATTGAATGGTTGATCTCTTTGATGAATTTCTAAAAAAAATAAAATAATAATAATAATAATAATAATAATAAAATAGAAATATGCAACATTAAAAAAAATAATAATAATAATAAAAACCCGGTAGTATACCTCCTCCTTCTTCATTGAGAATGAAGATCTGCATGTTCCCTTAAACACTGTTCTATCTAACAAAGAAAATGAGCTTCAAATACCAAATTCTCATGAGACAGCCGAGTCGTGCCAAGTTGCCTTGGATTAGGACAATAATGGGACTTCCTCTAGTTCCATAATTTGAACCTCACCTAAAAGTCCTAAACATATACAGAGACCAGGGAGGCAGGATTGTATTTTGTGAAATCTTCATTTGGAAGATTCTCATTGACCAAGCCAGTTTACCGTGTTTGTTTTATGCGAAAACAACATTCTAAAATCCAACTATACAGATTAACAACTTTATATTGCTATGCAAATTAATGGCTCGTCATGGGAAAGCATGAAATTCCTCTAGAGAAGTATTCGTTGAACTACAAGGTGCAGGTATTTTTATGATTAGCTGTACAAAATAAATTGTTGACGGTGGATAATTTGATTAGGAGGGATAAAGTTTTACCCAACATTTGTTTGACGTGCAAAGAGGATGAGGAAACTGGAGATCATCAATTTATCCACTGCCATGTTGCCTCTAGAATTTGGTATTGGTTATATGGTTTACTTAGGGTACATGGTACACTACCCAATTCTGTGATGGGTATAGTGTCACAGTTGGCCTTTAATCATCTACCATCTGTGGGTATTTTTCTTTGGCAAATTGCAAGAAGAGTTGTGTTATGGGAAATTTGGAAGGAGAGAAATAGGCGGACTTTTGAGGGGAGAGAGTCTATCTTTCGATAGACTGCCCAGTAAGGTCAAATTGTCTACCTAGTCATGGTTCTTGGTTACTAGGGAGGGTTGGGGGATTTCATAACCAGATGTTTTGTTGAATTTTTTAAATCTGTTTCTATTGGGTAGAGTTAAGATGAGATCTAGGAGTATTTGGGTGACACCTACGAGTGGGAGTTTTACGTTAAATTTTGACGGGAGCTCTTTTGGTAATCTAGGTTTGGCGGGCGTTGGGGGAGTTTTGCATGACTGTTTTGGAGAGGTTATCTTCTCATATGCTGGCCGTATTGGTTAGCCATGGCTAACCAATCAGAGTTATTAGCTTTGCTCCAAGGTTTAAAAATTTTTATATCTAGAAACCTTGGTAATAGCTGCATTATTGAAGGAGACTTTTTGAATGCTATTATATGGTGCAAGAAGGAGTTGCACATTCCTTGGAAACTGACGTCTAGTTGGTTGCAACTTATGGATTTGATTACTTCTCTCTCTGTTTGTTCTGCCATGTTTATTGTGAGGCGAATTCCTTGGATGACTCTCATGCTAAAGGAAGGTCATCTTTGTCCACTCTTGGTATTTCTTCTAATGTTATTTCCTTTGAGTAGATTCGCTTAATAAAGTAAGGAATATTTGTAAAAAACAAAAAAAGTGTATACGACAGCACGGGAGCATAAAAGAGTATTTGACTACTCTTGTTAGTCCCAAAAAATATATCAATAAATAAAATGAATTCGATAAAAAACTCACTCGTATATGTCCTTAAATCACACGAGGGACTTAAGATTACATATAAAAACCTATAGACCAAGCCATCCGATGATATACCTTTGAGAGTCATCTTTTGTGAATCTCATTCACCCCTTTTTCCACCTTTCTCTATCTTATCTTTACTTGAGGGGCTAACCTCTTTTTATAGATAACCATTTAGTTTGTAATTCTCACATTTATGGTTTATAGGAGTTGAGATCCTAGTGTAACTCTTGCCTTAATTTCCTTAAGTGTCGCTAATTAGGATTAATAAATTGTCATCAAATTGTTAATCCTATGTACTTGAGCTAAACATGTCATTAGTGCACTAATGACTCAAATAATAGGATATCATCCAAGTATTCCTACAATTTAATAAAAAGATATTTAGAAATTAAATTATTTTGTATATCTATAATATAGAAAAACAATTCTTAAAAGGCATCCAAACATATCACTGGGTTTTCCCTCCAATGCAACATCCTATAAAAGCTCTATGGATCCTAGTATATGGCATTGTTGTGAAGAGTCTTAGGTTTCTTTGAAGGGACGCAGTGTCCCTTACGCAGTGTCCCTTAATCATATGGAAATACATACTTGTTTTTTATAGACAAATTACAAATCAGAAAATATAGAAATAAATCACATATTCTTACATTATACACATACTTACGATAAACACAATATATTGTATATACCCTTTCTCAAATATACAGATTATAATATACTCCTTCCATATTAACTAGATATATAATATATACTTTCCTTTCACACTCCCCTCAAACTCAAGATCCTATGAATGAGAGCAACTGGAGTTTGAATACTAATTATGGGAATAAGCAATTGGATCTTCAGATAGCATGACTAGTAGATGCAATGGTTGTCATGCTCATATTGCTTGATCAACAAGCACAGAAAGCCATGGCGGATCAAATGGCCTTAGGAACTAAGGGTTATAGCAGAATAGGCTTGATCATTCAAACAAAAATCAAAGCAGTCGAGATAGTTGAGAGAACAAAATGACACTTGGAAGAGCCAATAGAACTCGGTGTGGATTCGAGACAGATTCAGCAACTTGCAGACCAGAACAAACATGATCGAGTAACAGAGCAACAAACTCGATCATACAACAAATTTACAGAGGGTCATGTTTTTTTCTTCCAAGTTTGAGTTGGTCAAAGAGCAAGATCGAGTAATAGAGTAACAAACTTGATCTTATAAATAAGACGTGACAGAGCAAAGATAAAATCAAAATAATGCGTGATTTTCTTTTTTTTTTAGAGTGGTTTTTCAGAAGAGTTTCAGAGGGTCAATGATAATATCATATCAAAATGGCGGGGTGAGATTCTGTGCCTGTTGTGCCATACCCCTTTGTCCACACTGCCATCCCTAGAGCTCTCTCTCTCTTCTTCCCCACCCACCTCATAACTCGTCGCAAGAGGCTTCAATAACCAATTGGCTGATGACTACAATTTAGAATGAGTCATCAACAATTAGGGGTCGTTTGGGTACCTGAAATCTATTAGAGGGAAACATATTACAAGGAAATATGAGATTTATCATGTTTGGGTACACTTCAACTATAAGAAAATGGAAATAAATTACACAAGATTTCCCTAAAATACGTGAAATCTATTACGCGCAGAATGACTGTATAGACTTGTCTTTTATAGACATGAAATCTATTACGCGTAGAATGTCCATTAATCGTATGAATATATAGACTTGTCTTTTATAGACAAATTACAAATCATAAAATACAGAAATAAATCACAGATTCCTATACTATACCCAGACTTATCATAAACACAAGATATTGTATATACCCTTCCCAAATATACAGATTATAATATAGACCTTCTATACTAACCGGATATACAATATATACTTTTTACCACATGGGATTTCACATATACTATACTATATGACTTTTGTACCATTATTAAAAAATAAATTCTCAAGAGAAAAGTGACTGATAGGCCATATTTCCAACCGGTCAGAGTAACAAGTACTCAGGATCGCCCCTTGGCGAGCCTGAGTTTCCCTGAGTTGGGTGTATCACTCAAGAATTTTAAAAAAACTTCAAAAATTTATAAAAAATAACAAAAAAGAAAGAATTATTGGTGATATCTTTCTTTATGTTTTCTTTCATTTTGACATGATTGGAACATTCTCCAATTCATGACCTCTAGTCACAAATTGATTTTTTTAAAATCTAGTTTTTACTCTTTTTTTTACCTCATTTTGATGTGTTTTGCTTAATCTTACTTCAAACATACGCATATGTTTCCTATTTTTTTGGATTTTATTGTTTTTGTAATTTTTTTTACTTTTTTTTCTTTTATTTTGCAGACACAATACTTGGCTCTATTTGAGCCAAGTACTTAGGTCGGCATGGGCCGGGTACTCACCCTGAATAGTGGTTTCGAACACGGTACATATAAGAAAAAAGTACGTCTGTACCATAAGTAGAAGGGGTACCCCCAGGTCCATATTTATGCAAAATTTATGTGATGGTCGACTCTGCATGCCATTGTGTTTTCGAAATTTGCCCAACAATCTATTGTTCCAAATATCCGATTAGTTTTTTTTTTTTTTTAATTTTTTTTTAAAAATGTAGGCGTGGTTATATGGGTGGGGAGCACAATTTTGGATAATGTCTTATATTTCCAACATCAGACTGAGGTTAGACAATTCATTGTTGTAAAAAACAACTAAGGTTTGGTTTGATATTGAAAATATCGGACCAATCCAGGGCGGTCCCATGTTGCGTACATTGTACATTCTTCAAAGTTAAACACATGACTATATTTTGAGCATTTGACCTCGAAAGACACAATAAAAACTGCCCGATATTTCAGTCTAAAGAAAAAACGACATTGACAATGAATATATGAGGTGGAATGTTTACCACATCAAATTGTCCAACTTGTGGGCAATGCGATATCCGACAATGAGCCCTCACCATTAAAAAAAATAAAAAATAAAAATGGACACACCTAGATTTCGAAAAATAAATAAAAAATAAGAAAGTGGTCCACTATTCACACCGATGGACCGATGGAGGGGCAAAATATTAAAGGAAAACAACAGTGTCTAGGGTTGGACCTCCCTGTAAAATTTACATAAAAATGGACCTACATAAAATATCCCCTTTGGCTTATGGTACAGATCTAATTGTTCAAAAGATATACCATGGTAACATTTTTTGGTAGAGACTCCTCTAGATTCCTATGTGTTCACATCAGAGGGCTGTCAAAGTGTAACAGTGGAGTGGACGGACCTCCAGAACGTTTTAATGGATGAGGAGTTTGCTACTATACTACTGTAACTTGTATGCTAAATAATAGTATACAAACCTGGAATTAGGGTTCTTAACATTTCTAGCCCACGGGCTTTCAGGTCGGGTTTGCGCCACATGTTAAGGCCGCCAGCGGGAATCGGCTGGACTTGGCAAGCTTGAAATATTTTGGGTCGGAGCTTGACTGAGCCAGTCTGGAAATTTTTTAAGAAAGTTATACTCTTTCTGAAAAAAAATTCCCTATTTATATGAGGCTCCGGGAGTCATAGTTTTTTGGATTTGTGATGGATTCGGACCTCGTCATCATGAATTTGGGCATGGCCCAGCTCGAAATTTAATTTGAGCTTGGGTTGGGACTACCTTACATGATTTTGGGCCGTGCTCAAGCCTGGGAGGTCCCGCCTGAATCCAGCTTGTTAATAGACATATATGGACTTCCTTTTTTTTTTTTTGAGTAATTCAATGTAGAAGACCGTCCCTATCTGCTGTTTCAAATAGTTTAAGAATTAATTATTTTGAAAATGTTAATGGATAATGTCAGTGGAAATAAAAACCATAAAGTGGTTACTAGGTGTGGGGGTGCTACAAGTCCATCCCCAACCTTGGTTTTTAAGTACTTGATTATTCCTATGAGAGAGAGAGAGAGTATAATATAGTTGTTTTGGTACAGGTATTAGGGACTATAGTTGCACCAGCCTCGACTTCTCCATATGGTGGTGATGTTGATCATTGGATCTATTTCAAGCACGTGGATGGCCTCAGCATTCAAGGATCAGGCACAATCGACGGCCAAGGACAGGTGTGGTGAAACACCAAATGCAATCAAGAATCAAACTCGGTATTTACCATTATACCCATCTACCTTACTGTTTGGATGGTACCCATCATTGAGGGCTAGCTCTAAGAAAATCTCATCCGCTATCTTTCGGCTCAGAATGGGGCAGAACATCATTATATTGTTAATCCTCGTACTCTAATGTTAGTTTTTCATCTTCTTATTGATACTTTTTTGCTCATCTCAAAACTTTATTTGCCCTAATTATTGTTTTATTATTATTATTATTGTTATTATTATTATTACTATGGTAAGGATCCGATGAGCCCCTCACACATGCGGGCTCTATTGAACCCTACTTTGTTGCCATCCGATCTCATTTAACATCTCGAAGAAAGATGCTGTGCCAAGTCACCGGTAAAAAGGTAAAAATCAACCGGGTGAAAGAGTAAATGTTAGGAAGTTAAGTTATTATTTTATTTTTATTATGTTACCTCTGATGAGAGCCTCCCATACTTGGTTTCTTGAGATTGGATGAAGCAGTGGATGAGCATGGAGCAGTTTCCCTCTTATCTCTCTTTTGCGATCCCAATTTTGAGCTTGTTTATTTCTCTCACTAGAATCGATGAGGCCTGTTTTGATGGAAGAAAAGTTAGGCTTTTCAAGTAATGCGATTTTTGGCAGAGAGAAAACTGGTTGTTTCCAATAGTCTTGTTTCTTGGCCTGAAAGCTTTTGGTTTCTATCACTACGGTTTCTCTCACTATGGTTTCTCTCATTTAAAATGGAAGACTAGCTTTCATTAGTTGCAAATTTCTCTCACTAAAACTGAATGACTAGCTTTCATTAGTTGAGGTTTTGCTGTGTCGTTTATTTTAGTATAATGGTGGGAAGACGAGCCCTTTCCAGTATTTTTCAAGGAGGTTAGGTGTTAGCTTTTTTTAATGTATTAGTAGAGGTAGTTTTAGTGATAGGAATGAAAACCACAATGTGGTGACTAAGATGTGGGGTGCTACCTCTACCTGCCCACCCCTTTTCCCGCTGCTACTGTGTTTTGAAAACTACTATTTGATCCACAAAAACTGCTATATTTGAAAACCAGAGATGGACAATTTATGGCTTGGACATCACCAGGAGAATCTAGTCTAACCTTTGTCTCTCTGGATTTGGCCAAGCTTCCCCTCCTCCAATATTGTAAAACACTTTCGATCTTAATTTTCGATGCCATTCCGCTGAGAATTTTTGCCATTCTCTAATATCTTTTGAAGAAATGGAGGTACACTCTGATGAGGGTTCATTTATCTTTCTTTGCTCCTGATCGGGTTTGGTAACTTGCCTTAAAAGGGAAAAATCAAGAGGCAAGGACAAGAAACCACCATTAACAGCCGGAAAAACAAATTGTGTTTTCTCACCAGAAAGAATCAAGAGGCAAAGATAAGAAACCACAGAGAGAACCCAAATTCTTTTCAGGCTGAAATAGAAAATGGTGACTGGGCTTTCTCACTTCTTTTCCCCATTTTTTTCTCTCGCTCTCTTCAATTCCACCTATCTCTATGTTTTCTTTCTCTCTCTAATTACTGCACAGTCTTTTTTCTCTCTAATCCATCCACCTTCTCTGTGAATTCTTTCTTATCCATCCGCTTGTTGAATCCTTCATCACATCCTATACATTTTCTCTTTCATCTGTTTTTGCCCTCTTCTCTTGGATCTTTTTATTTATTTTAGACGTAATGGTTGCCTTTTATAAAATGATGTCTCTACAAATTGATCCAAGAGAGGAAGAGAGAGCTCCCCTTGATCAGCTTTCTTTGCTTCCCTCGTAACATAAAATTTATATACTTCTCTCTATCTAACCGTCCATTCTGAATGAATGGTTAAGATTGCCCCAATCACAATGTCATATCTATACACTATTTTATTTTTAATTTTTTTCTATAAACTTTTTTGACACCAAATTTTATAAGATCAAACGGTGAGTGGCTCTCTTGATCAAAATTTGATGGCTGGACGATAGGAGAAGCATAAATCTTATGACTTGGCACTACATCTTTTCTCAAGATGCCAACGGAGTTCCAATGGTAATAGAATGGGGTCCTATATTATGGGCATGTGTGAGGGGCTTATAGGATCATTACTTTTATTATTATTGTTGATTGTTTATGTTGTTGTTATTGTTGTAGAATTGCTTAGATTGCATTTATTGGTATCATCAATTTTGAAAAATTTGGAAATATATGACATTTTGTTTCTTCACAAGGTTGACGGCGTTTTTCATGACCCAAAGTCACCATTCCAATATTTAAGTGATAACTGCCTAAGATTACATAACCAACGTGTTTCCATCGAAAATGTGATTTGGGCTTTATGAAAATATTTCACCGACAATTTGATTTTGAAAAATACTTGTTTTTATGAAATGTTTCAAAAAGTAAACTGGTGGGCCGAGTATAGCATTGGCCTAACAAATTGAAATAAACTGGTGGGCCCAGTATAGCATTGGCCTAACAAAGCCTAAGTTAGTTCTAATATGACAGCAACAACATCAATAACAACATTTATTTAATTTTTTTGTTGTTGTTTTTGTTTTTGTCATTATTATTGTTATTGTAATTATTATTGTTATTGCTATTACTACTGTTACTATTATTATTGTTACTATTATTATTGTTGTTAGGCATAAAATCTCTTTTAGTAAAACAATACCCACGTGTGCCATTCATATAGCTCATCTATGTAACTGAGGGTTTTAAATTATGTGGATGGCTGCGGTTACCAGAAAAATGGATATACAAATCCACCCCAAAGGCATCAAAGAATATGTATGCATTTTTGCTTATGCTCGTTTATCTCTTTTCTTTTCTTTTCTTTTTTTTTTGTTTTTTTGCAGGGTTGTAACAATGCGCCAGCGGTTAGTTTCTTTCTTCCCCATCAATTCCATGAAAAATTTTATGGTTCTCGTATCATTGAATAAAAGTATGCCCAAGGATTCTGTGTTTAAAAGCAACTAATCTTATGCAGATCCAAGTGTTAAAAATCTCAAAATTCAAGTTCTTGGTACTTTTTCAAAAAAAAAAAAAAAAAAAAAAAAAAACAAACAACAAATTGTAATATGGTGAGAGCACCTCAAAGTTTCATGGCAAAAATTTCCTCTTTGGTAGATCTTTTGCTAGAGGGAGAATGTCAACTATATATGACCCTGTGAGAGCTTGTTGTAGGCCCTAAAACTATACATATGATCCAGAAATAGTGCTTGTCTCAACCTTGTTATTATCAAGATTAGTAGGTGTATGATAAAAATAAAAGCAAACGAGTGTATCTGAAAACTAATTTGGTTTTATGCCAAGAAGGTCAACAACCGATATTCTTTTCCTGTTTAGGCAACTGATTGAGAAGTTTGGGACGAAAGAAGAACACCTCCAAATGGTCTTCATTGACTTAGAAAAAGCTTATGATAGAGTAACCTGATATTTAATTTTGAGGGTGTTGGAAAAGAAAAGAGTCTTCAGACACTACATTGACTTGTTGAGAGATATATACGATGGAGTGCTAACTAGTGTGCGAACAATTAATGGAGATGTGAGTGAGCTTTCAGTGATAATAGGTTAATGGAGATGTGAGTGAGCTTTCAGTGATAATAGGTCTACATCAAAGGTCAGTATTGAGCCCGTACCTATTTGTCTTAGTTATGGACGACTTAACCAGGAACCTGCAGGATGAGATACCGTAGTGTACGTTGTTTGCAGATGAGATAGGTTTGATCAATGATACCAAAAATGGCATCAATACAAAGTTAGAACTTTGGAGGGAATCTTTAGAATCCAAAGGTTTTAAAAGTAGCAGGATTAAGACAACGTATATGGAATACAAGTTTAGTAATAATAGGAATAGAGATGATCAACTAGGAAGTAAAAAAAAGACCGCATTTTCGATATCTTGAGTCGATAATCCAAGAAAATAGAGAGATTGAAGAAGATGTTGCACATAGAATTTGAGCTGGGTGGGCAAAGTGAAGATATACAACGAGAATTTTATATGATCCCCGCATATAAATGAAGCTGCAAGGTAAGTTCTATTGGTCAGCTGTGAGATAAACTTTACTTTATGGGGAGGAATGTTGAGTGGACAAAAAACAATATATCCATAAAATGAGTGTAGTGGAGATGATGATATTGAGCTGGATGAGTGGCAAGACAAGAAGGGATAGAATTCGAAATGATTACACTCAGAAAAGTTCAAGTGGGGCATCAATAAGCGATAATCTGAGAGAGAGTAGAATTAAGTGGGCTGCTCATGTGTGGCGTAGACCCAGTGCTACACATATTAGGAGGTACGAGTTAGTTCAAGTAGAAGGATTGAAAAGGGCAAGGAGTAGGCCCAAAAAGATATGGGGACTTTTGGCCTCATTGAGGATATGACTTTAAATAGAGCAGAATGACAAACCAGGATTCATGTAACCAACTTCAATTAATTGGATAAGACTATGACAATGGTGTCAATAAAAATAAAAACATAGAAATGAGGACTACTTAAAAAAGAGTAATGATCCTATGAGACCCTCCCACACCCATGTGTGGAGGACCCCAAATGATCACCATTAAATTTGACATAAATCTCTAGAAAAGTTATCACATGGGTGTGGAACTTGACTTTTTTAGAGATCTGCGTCAAATTTAATGGTGGAATCCTATACACATAGGTGTGGGAGGGTCTCATAGGATCATTACTCTTCAAAAAGACATGGAGGACAACTTTGATTTTTGGTCGGTTTGTTAGATTTGAACCAAGGGGTATCAATATGTCGAACCGACCAGCCCGAACCAACAAGATCCCACATGGACCCCTCGAACCCAACCAGGACTAGGGTCGGGTCCAAGTGACATGGACCTATACCCCATTTGGGCTCAAGTCATTTGGACCAATGTGGTCGCAATTAATCTTGACCATTGGATGTGAAATTGGGTGGCTACATTTATTCCACTGACCATGTTCAAACTTTACAAGGAATTTTGTCAAAATTTTGTGATACACTCAAGCTATCCGATTCCACATCTGCTTACAAATAATTGCGACTTCCTTGTATAAAAAGTAGATAATCTTATTACATACAATCTCTTTAATATTTAGGCCATATACTCTTCTCCCAAGCATACCGTCCACTTGCGCCATCGGGTGAAAGAGTAACATAAGGGAATCTATATTACTCCATTCGGTGAAAAAGCTACTCCAGAAATTCATATAGGAGCATACTGTCTACATACCCCATCCGGTGAAAAAGCTGCTTGAAAGGTGTTTAGGATCTGAAACTTCGAAAACCACTTAACAATAGAAAAATGGTTATTTTGAAAAACAAAAACTCAAATTTTGAGTTCTTCAATTTCCATTTCAATATCACATAGTAAATAAATTTAGAGAACTATGGGCTTTGCAGATTAGAGAGAGAGAAACCAAGGAAATTAATTGGGAGGAAGAGAGAGAGAGTAACCAAGGAAATTAACAATGGTTTTGTGGCAGGAATTGTCCATTCTTTCGTGCAGCAATGTAAATTTGAGAGATCTGCACATGGTTAACGGCCAGAAACAACATGTCAGAATAGATGAGTCTATTACTGTTTTCATAGGGGGTCTCCATATTAGTGCTCCAGGCGACAGCCCAAACACCGATGGCATACACATCCAAGGCTCTCAACATTTCAACATTGAGAATAGTTACATTGCCACTGGTATCTCTCTCTGTCACTCAGGCGTGCGCTCACACACAGAATTCAGTTCATGGTGGTGCAATGCCTTCCTCTTTAGTTGATTACGCTGTCGGAAATTTTCTATGAACATTATTTTCTCTTCCTTGATGTTAATAAGGAAATCAATAGAAACTGCAGAGCCTGTAGAGTTTCTCAATCTTCATGCTTTTCTGTTTTTCGAATTTGAAGTGCATTTGAACTCTGGAAAACTTTCAGTCTGAGGACAGTAATGGCACCTTGCTATCTCATTTTAGCATCCTCCCATATCATTTTTATTTCATTTTGGCCAGAATTTGGGGAATTTTTCGGCAAGGCGAGCCAATTTCAACTCGAAGTGGTCATTTTGCAAAGCCCTATGGTCCCACCTTTGTCCGAGGGACTACCTGAACATTTTAGCTTTTTTTTCTTTGAATTTTACTCCAATCTCTATTTACCAATTAAATAAACATGGTTCACCTTTTGGGACCACGTCCTGAGTAGAAAGAGACAAATCCGCTATTAACTCCATGGTTAAAATAATCTTCTAAGAAACAAGATTTCTTGGGCTCACTCATTTTTTTTAGATATTTCTCTATCGAGGTTTTTTTCTATTTTCTTTCACGGATACTTCTTTTCTTTCTAGGGGCATTCTCTTTCTAAAATAAATTTTTTTTTTCTCTTTTTCTTCTCTTTTTCTTTCTTTTATTTTTCTACAAAGAAAAGGCTTAAGAAGATCACTAATTCTCTTTCATCTTCTTCTTCTCTCTAAGAAGGATAACTTTTTCTCACTTTTTTTGCTCTCTCGGAAAAGGATAACTCTCTCTCTCTTTCCAAGCGAAAGATCTTCTTCTTCTCTAAAAGGTTTTTATAGAGCCAAGGCTCTCAACAATCAAGTTAGAGCCCACCTAGAAAATTTCATTAGAAGAGGTTATTTTGATGCCCAAATATCCTCAAATCGATCATCTCGACATCAAGATGCATGGACATGAAAAATAAATAGATTTCAAGTTTTGGAAATAGTGCATCTTGTGACGCATTTTCGGACCATCAATTTTCAGAATTTTCAAGTTTTTATTGATATGCTCGATCTACACTATTTTTGAAGCTTTAAATTTTATTATTAAAGATGAAAATATATTTTAAAGCTTTCATAAAGATTTCCAGTACTGAAACTACATTGCTTGACACTATTTGAAGGTGTGCTTTATTTTGATTGTTTAGAGCCTCCGCCCTATACAAACCTCACCCTTTTTCAATATACCACCATTTTTCAATACACCACCTCCTAAAGAATGGCCCATTGTTTAGAGCCTCTAATCTATACAAACCTCACCCTTTTTCAATACACCACCACCTAAAGAAATGGCCCAAGAGAGGTGCGCCCCCACGAGAGGTGGCTTTGGTTAAAGGGCAGTGACTTCATGCCACCGTTGTATCATAATATAATGCAACAACACTTCTAGAAAATCGTATTTGTCATATTTGTATGACCCAAAATTTTATACGTACACTCTCTTCATCTCAATAATCAATCCCCAAAAAAAAAAAAAAAGTTTAATTTGAACCCAAGATATGATCAAAATGAGTCCCCTCCAAAAACGAATATCGACTATTCATTTGGTGAATTTCAAGATCTTGGCCTTTATAAACTCAAAATCTTTTTTCTTTTATTTTTTAACACTGTTCATCTAATGATAATAATACCATCCAAAAAAAATTGAAAATGCAAAAAATATCTTTCTAAAGCGAAGATCTAAGCATCTCACCGAAATGAATGGCTTATGTTAATTGGGCTAAAAAAGTACTTTCTAGGTTGTGTTTTCAAATTTTTCTTTTTTGCGATTGTTCATTAGAATGAAAAGAGTGTATATTTCAAAATTTTAGATCAAACAAATGGCTATAACATGGTTTTTGAAGGTTGTTGTATCATATTACTATACAACCATTGCATGAAATCATTGCCCTTGGTTAAAACCCCAACCAAGAGTAACCAAAAAAACCATTGGTTAAAATCCCATCCAAGGATGGGTCAATAGGATAATGACCAATATGGAAAGGATATCCCTAACCTCCTAAAATGTAGCTCATCTCTATCTCCATTTTAAGTAAGAGATAGATGATATATTTACCCATTACCCGTATCAATCACCTTAGACTTCTCATATTTCATGGGGAGTAAAAAATAGAGGATATATTTACTCATATCAATCACGTGAGACATTTCATATTTTATGGATCATGACTTGTCAACAAGTCATATTTCAATTTTTCTAGAGCTGCCCTTTTAGAAATATAATTTTCATTGGTGCCTCTCCCTCATAGAATGGGACTTCTAACTAGCGTTCACAAAATCAAAACAAAACGGTTAAGACATGGGCCTGGAAGTGGTTTAATTGGCCTAACCGGTAAACTAGCCTATTCAACTGCTCTAACCGGGCAAGTTTCGGGCGGCCAAAAAAGTAGTGAAAAAAAATGCAAAAAAAAACTACTAAAATATGAAAAACATATAAAGAATGATTTAAACAAAACATATTAAAATGAAGTTGAAAATTAATGAAAAAAATGGATTTTAACCCATTTCATATTTTTCAATGGCTATTTTTAAATTTTTCTAAAAAAAAATGGGAAAATATAAAAGTGAGTATTAATAACATTTTTTTGTAATGTTTCCCATAATGGAAAGAATATTTAAAAATGCATTACAAATCAAATTCCTTATTTTTTAGAATTTATACATATTTTTTTTAAATTTTTTTTTTAAATACCGGTTGATCATCCTAACAACCCAAAATTGAAACCCGCCACTGGCCGATTCTGATCTAACTGAGCGGTTAACGATTAGATCGGGCGATTTTACGAACAATGCACCCAACACATTCCCTTTGAACTCCAAGCAAATTACAAGGAAAATTTTGGGATTACAGTTTCCATCTTACGCTTTGTTCCAAAGAAAATCGTAATTATTTTGTTGCGTCACATCTGTAGAATCGGATGCTTGCTCCTGAAAATGACGAATTTGTTCTTGTATTATCATAAATATTTTGTGCCAACCTAAGTTTCAACAGGTGGACTCTGTTATGTGAAAATGAGGATATATGTTTTTTTTTTTTTGACAAATATAAAATAAGAATGTATGTTAAACAAAGGTTTGATGGTTGTTTTGTGCAGAGGGAGCTAAGAATTTATTTTTATTTAATCTATTTAAATCTAAATTTTGGTAAATATCGACGATCCCTTTCATCATTTTTATTTACTATTGTATTTAGTTTCTAGGATTTCACAATTCCAACAATTCTCCAAGAAATCAAAAAATTTTGTCTCCCCTAGACTTATATTGAGTAGTACTCACAGAATTTCACAAAAATTGTAATATTCAGATGAAAAACGACCTATTTCAAAGATACTTCAAAAGAAAAATAAATGTTCGATTAGTGAGCATTTTCTATAGAATATTGTTGCTTGTTTCTATTGCAGGTGATGACTGCATTTCCATAGGAGATGGATCTTATGATGTAAATATCTCGCAAGTCACATGTGGACCAGGTCATGGCATAAGGTAATCCTCACCGTATATTTGATATCTTGGATTAACAAATACAAAGTTTGTGCCTCACCATGCAAATTTTGAGTTGTCTTCCAATAAAAGAATACTAAGATATACTAAGATTTTGGTAACTAATTTTCCAAAAAAACAAAAAAGGCTTTTGGTAACCGCTTCACACCCACTTAAAGAAAATATTACTTTTTTTTTTTTTTTAATAGGTCATCATCTTCATTATCATTAGAGCTTTATCCCAATATTTGATGTCACAACACAATCATGTTATGTCATTCTACTATATCAAAGGCCATATCCTCGGTAAGTCCATGAGTCCCCATATCGTTGTTTAGTACTTTCTTCCATGTCCTTATGGACGTTCCTCTTTCTCTTATAGAGCCATCCACTTGAACCAACTCGCACCTCATAATGGCTGTTGTACTTGGTTTACATGGAAAACTGACGTAAGTCTACTTTCACTCAACTTATTGCCTATGGAATTCACACCTAGGTTCTCTCATACGCATTCATTTCATTTCTTTCTAATAAGTATTTGATAATATTTCTTATGTCGCATTAGGAGTCTAGGTGATGGTGGGTCTCATGGAACAGTGGAAATGGTACATGTCAAGATTTCATTCTTTACTGATACTGAAAATGGTGTCGATGATTGATGTCTTGTAGTTTGAGAAAATAGATTTGTCAAGATGGAGTAAGAAAGACGACTCTGGAGTGCCGTTCAAAGGGTATTTTAGTAATTTATACCATCTATCTGAAACTTGATATATATTGTTGCGATTGGGGGTTTATCTAGGGTTAAGGGAAAAAAACGCAGATTGCTATGTAATCAGAGAGGTGTGAGGAAGAGAACTTTTTGTAACCCTATTTCTTCATTACCAGTAAAGAAGTTATCATCTCCCGTGGACGTAAGCACGTTGCCGAACCACGAATATCATTGTGTTGTGGTTGGTTGTTTGTTTTTTTTGTGCTTGTTTTTTCTTTCTAGTTTTCGTAGATTGTTTTCTATTTATATAAATGGGGCTTGGATTAAGACATGGCAGGTACTCGTGGGCTACTCTTCTTAAGCATAACCAACAAAAGAATGTTGGCCACAAATTAAGGAAATGGAATGCTCGTTAGCCTGTGATATAATTTTCTTAAGAAAAATCATTGTTGTAGTTCATACATTTTGATTCTGTCTTCCATGTCTTCATAGAAAATGCACCTAAAACTAATGGATGAGGTTTTTGTATGGCTTAGGTTTTATGAAAACAAATAAAGCCTCACCTAAAATTCTTGTCTGGAAAGTAGTTTCAGTGATGGAAACATCTATGATGGCTTTAAAATCAATTTCTAACACCGACAATAAATTTTGAAACTCAAAAAATGATATAAATCGTGTCAATATGTGAGCATTTATTTTTAAAGCAAAATCGATGATCTAGATAATTTGTTACAATATATATTATTTTGAGAACTTGAAATCCTATTTTTTCACAACCATAATGTTCAAGCTGAGATGATTGATGTAAAGGTTTTCTAATACTTGACTTGCAAGTTCCAATGGGTTATGAGGTGAGGATTTACTTCTTTTGATAGAGCTGCAGCCTTATCTAATCATTTTCCAAAACTAATACATCTAAACTTTCTAGGGTGGATCCGGATTCACAAGAAACATCATATTTGAAAATCTCAACTTCACGGCCATCTCTAATCGCATCGTCATCAATCAATATTATTGTCCTGACAAAGCTTGCCAGAACCAAGTAAGTTTTTTTCTCTCTCTCTATCTCTCTCTCTATTCTTTTGAACATGTATATCTTTCATATTAAAAAGTTATAATCTGATTCAGACTCGCCCGAGTTGGATCAAGATGACTTAGGATCAAGCTTCTTGGAAGTCGTAGCCCTAATCCACTTCCTAAATATAGGCACTAATGTACCCCAATAAACTTGCATTTTTGCGTCTTATTTCATTCAATAGTATCATTGAGTTACCCTCGTATCCTAATTTTTTGGGCTCATTTACCCGCTATTGATAAGTGTAGACCTCAGCTGTTGAAGTGACGTGCACTACATTGGACTCTATGGAACTTCCCAAAGTGAGGTTGCTGTTTCTCTGACCTGCAGTGAGTGTGTTGCTTGCACCAACATATTGCTAAATGGCATTGACCTAAATGCTGCAAACCCTGGAGATACTACCTCATCTTATTGCCTCAATGCTCATGGGACTATTCAGGGTCAAGTTAATCCTCCTGTTCCATGCTTAATGCCTTAAACAAACATTTTTAAATTGAAATTGGTGGCCATATGGTCCTCATAAATAGTGAGTAATAAGAGGGTTTATTTTTTATTTTTTATAGTGAACCTCTCCTCCTGTGTTTGTATGAGCTAATTGGGACTCATGAGTATTCCTCAAAGGTTTTGAAATGAATAAAACCTAGTTTTTGGTGTTCTTTTGATAGTATATGTCAGCGATTTAAAAATTGCGGAGTCTGCACGGGCTCGGGGAAGTCGACACGAGAATCTGTCACCCTGCGTCGATTCCAATAAGAAACATTATATCACCTGATTCTAAAGAAGAGCTGGTGATTGTTCTAAAGAAGAACCGGTCTATAGTGAACCACCTAAGTCAATGTACTAAATCGGTAGGTGACATCAAGACTCAGCGTTTCACACATTATGACAGGTGATTCTCTACTTGGATATTTTTTTTCAAAATAAGATTTTTTCAAAATAAGTATGACAGGTGATTCTCTACTGGGATATTTTTTTTCAAAATAAGATTTTTCCAAAATAAGAGAACTTTACCACAGTATGACGGGCGATTCTCTATTGGGATATTTTTTTTCAAAATAAGAGAACTTTGCCATGTTAAGTTGATGTCGCCACACAGACAATCACATGGCCCCATGTCCCATTCACTGGTCACCAAGTAATAGGCTGGTCCTCAGGTCTTTTATAGATGTGAAATGCCCTTGAAGTTTTTGATGTGGGACAATTCCCACTGTAGTATCTTGAGAACAAAGTTTGTAACCAGTAGCATGCAAACTGTTAATACCATGATGTATAGGCTTAAAGTACAGTGTTGAACAAACCTATTAGCATACAATTAAACCATACACTTATAACCATTAGTTCTTATGGAATTTTGCTTATTATAAAAAAATGTTTATTAAATTAATAAAAAAATTCTTTTAATAATTATGTTTATTATAAATAATATTTCTTTAATAGAGCAAGCCTTTTATAATAAATTAAATTTATTATAAAAAATATACAAGCAATTCAAATTATACATACAAGAGCCATCTTGTTCATTGAATCACATTTAGTATAATATTATAATTAATAATTATAATAATTAAATTGATAACAACATCTTATATATTATTTATTAATATGTTTTTATTATAAAATATATAATTTAGTATCTTTTGTTATAGTTGTAAATTAGATAATATTACAAGATAAATTTCAAATTTATTCTTATTTGAATAATAAAATTATCATAAAGTATAGACCAATAATTTCAATTTCAATGTATAATATTATTGTTAATTACGTTGTGATAATTGTGGACGAGTAAAGAGAATTAATAAATGTTTGATCTGATATTAATTTCACTCCATATAGGATACTATTATTTGTAATCTTATAAAAAAATGAAAGTTCTTAATGCAGTACCCCTATTTGCTATTGGATTCCAAAAAGAAAATATTTATAATGATTTTTAATAATTTTTTTGAAATTTTTTAAAGCTAAATCCGACCGATTCGGACGATTCTTGATCCAAAACGCCAATTCACCGATCCATATGGGTTTTTGGGGTACCCCATCCAGGGCATCGACCCATTTTTTAAGTCACTAGTATATGCAATTGGGATTGTAGTGGACAATTGAGTTGGACAGAGGTTTTCGCTTTTAAAAGAGAAGGATAGAGGTATCCTTGGATGAAAATAGCATCGACTTGAAGCACAATTATTTGTAATAAGTGTTACATGGATACTGACTTACGTATTCATATTTAGTGCATGCCAAGGGCCATTTCGATACTTGTTAATGCATTTTCTTTGGAGATGGCACATTTTTAGCGTTTGGATCGAAATTTTGGGATTGAAAAGTATTTCAGTTGGAAATTTTTACCATTACTTTTATCCTCTGAAATTGATTTCCAGATAGATTTCCCTATAACGGAGACACCCACTTTATAAAATATAATTAATTCCACCAAACACCCCCTCAAATTAGAGAGATGAGCTATCTCACATTTTAAGTTTTAGGGAGAGATAGTATTTTAAAATTTTAGCGAAATAAACAATATCTAATTTTAGAGAGAAAACTACCTAAAAAGTTTTATAGAGAGAAACTATCTCAAAATTTTTATAAGGAGAAACTATTTCAAATTAATTTTTAAAGAGAGAGAATATATTAAAATTTTAGAGAGAGAAATTATATTAAATTTTAGGGGGAGAAATAGCCAAAAAAATTTTAAATAGAGAAACTATCTCAAAAATTTTCGAGAGAAAAACTATCTCAAATTTTAAGATCTACAGAGAGAAAGTACTTGAAAAAATTTAGGCAAAGAAATCACCTCAAAATTTTCAAAGAAAGAAACTATCTCAAACTTTAAGTTTTTGTGAGGGAAACTATCTCAAAATTTCAAAATTTATAGAGAGAGAAACTATCTCAAATTTTAAGTTTTATGAAGAGAGAGTACCTAAAAATTCTTAGAGAGAGAAACTATCTCAAATTTTCACTTTAAAGAGAGAAGGTACCTAAAAATTTTTAGAGAAAAAAACTATCTCAAATTTTTAGAGAACGAACTATCTCAAATTTTAAGTCCTAGAGAAAAAAACTATGCCAAAATTGAAGTTTTAGAGAGAGCATGTATCTGAAAATTTTTAAAGAGAGAAACTATCTCAAATTTTAACTTTAAAAGAAATAAACTATCTCAAATTTTTTAGAGAGAAACTTTCTCAAATTTTAAGTCTTATAGAATTATAAAATTTAGAGAAATAAAGTGCCTCAAAATATTTAGAGAGAGATACTATCGCAAAATTTTTAGTGACGAAAACTATCTCAAATTTTAAGTCTTATAGACAAAACAATTTCAAAATTTTTAGAGAGGGAAACTTGAAAGCAAAAATTGATGGAGCACGAGACCAACCAGAGATCAGAGACGGGGTGCCGTGAGGCTAGTGATCGTAGAGCCCAGATCATTTATTTATCCCGTCTTCTTTTAGAGAGAGAGAGAGAAATATAATTCCTTTTTTTTTTTTATCTATACGACACGCAAGACCTCATAGCCATACGTGTCAACATCTCCCATTTGGCTATGACGGCCGAGGATAATAAGTCACATGCGTACTCTCACTTTTTAGTATGACCTTTTAAAAAAATATATTGTCATGAGGTTTTTCTCATGCTTTTACGGATATGCCTCTCATAATAAACGTCTATCATGAGAATTTTCAAGTTAATGTGGATTTCTCACATATGAAAATCATGAGGATTTTCACGCTAATGCGGATTTCTCACTCATGAAAACTGTCTGACTTTAACATTTGTTGAGTCTCACTAAGCTAGTCTATCGTGAGGAATTTTTACGCTCATGCGGATTTCTTACTCATAAAAACTGTTTGACTTAAACATTTTTAAGTCCCATTAAGCTAATGTGCTTAGACAGTAGTTCAATACTTAGACCCTATGTTAATGGTTCAAAGATCATATCTGATGAGGACAAGTAACTAACAAGTACTTCACTTTTCTCAACTACATCCTGAATGTAGTGATATTGAATACCTATATGTCTTCCTTTGAAGTTGTTTGCTCCACTTTGAATTAATTTAATTGCGGCTTGATAATCAAAAAATATTTGGATCAATCCGTCGATTATTTGTAGCTTCAAGTTATCTATGAAGTTCTTTATCCATATGGCAAAAGTACAAGCAGTGCTACATGCAATGTATTCTACTTCTTGTGTATACCTAGCTACACACCCTAGTTTCTTGCTAGACCAAGAAACAACAGCCCCCCAAAGAGGAAAATATGTCCTAAGGTGGATTTACTATCGTCCTTATCCCCAGCAAAATCTGCATCTGAATATCCTATAACTTCAAGCTTGTCTGCGTGAAAGCACAATTTTAGATGCTTTGTTCCATTGATGTATCTTAAAATTATTTTACTACTTTTAAATAAGCTATGCCTGGATTACTTTGATATCTACTAACAAGTCTTAAGACATAACTCAAATCTGGCCTTGTACATCTTACTGCATATGCCAAGCTACCAATAGCTTGTGCATAGGGAACGTTAGGCTTTTCTTGTCCTTCTACTAGACAATCCTTCTTAGACAATTTTACTCCCTTTTCAACAAGAGTAGACAATGGCTTACAACTTTCCATTTTAATTCTTTTGAGAACAGAGTCAAGATATCTCTCTTGGCTCGAGCATAACATTTGTTATTTTCTATATCCAATTTTTTTTATGCCTAGGACAAAAGATGCTTATCACATATCCTTCATCTCAAACAGATAAGAAAGCCATGACTTAGTCTTATCAATCATTTCTGAGTCATTTCCAGCTATTAGAATATCATCTACATATAATGAGAGTATTGTGAATTTACTCCCACTCACACAATGGTCCAATCTATTTACTTCATATCTCATATGTAATATGGCATCATGAAATGTTAAGTAACATTGTTTTGAAGATTGTTTTAAACCATTTAAAGACTTATTTAATTTGTATATTTTATTTTCTTGGTCTTCAATTATGAAGCCCTCAAGGTGCCTCATGTAGATGGTTTCTTTTAGTTGATCATTCAAGAATGCAGTCTTTACATCCATTTGGTAAAGTTCTAGGTCATAATATGCAACGATTGCCAAAATTATTCTAATGGATATAAACGTTACAACTGGTGAATAAGTGTCGACATAGTCGATTCCCTTTCTTTGGGTAAAACCCTTTGCTACTAACCTAGCTTTAAATTTATCAATTGATCCATCAGATTTTAATTTCTTTTTAAGTACCTATTTAGAACCTATAAGTTTCCTATCTGATGGTAGATCACATAAATCTCAAACTCTATTCGTTGCAATAGAATCCAATTCTTCTTTCATAGCATTAAGCCATTCTTGAGATTATTGTGACTTCATAGCATCATTGAAGTCCAAAGGGTCATGGAATTCATCGAGATCAATAAGGTTGTCTGACTCCTCACTTATATAGACATAGAAATCATGAAGGTATGATGGAGGAGCTCTAGACCTCTTTTGACCACTTAACATTAGATGTGTGGGTACTTTAACATCATCATGTTGATCAGGGTTATCCAAATCTACTGTCAGTAGTGGTTCTAAGTTATTTAGGATATTAAGTGGATTATCATTATCCACTACATATATGTTTTTTTCAATAAAATCTTCTAAGAATTCAGCATCTTTGTTTTCAATGAGTCCCTTATCTTTATGATAAGATCCATATCCTTTTGATCATTCGGCGTATCTTATAAAATTACACACTAGAGTTTTGTTTTCTAATTTATTTCTGTGCTGATATGGAATTAGGACATGTGCAATCGATCCCCACTTCTTTAAGTTAGATAGATCAAGTTTTCTACATGTTCATAGTTCATAAAGGGTAGAATTTGTTACCTTAGTTGGAACTCTATTAAGAATATACATGGATGTGCTTATTGCTTCTCTCCAAAAGTTTTTGGATAGATTAGCATGAGCCATCACGGATCTAGTCATTTCTAAGAGGGTTCTATTACGCCTTTCTGCTATTCCATTTTGTTGTGGCATGTAAGGCATAGTGGTATGTCTTTTAATACCATATTCTTGACAATAAACATTGAAAGCTTTAGATGCATATTCACCTCCCCTGTCAGTTTTAAGAACTTTGATGTTCTTACGCAATTGATTTTCTACTTCCCTTTTATATATTTTTAATTTTTCTAAAGCTTATGATTTATGGTGAATTAGATAAACGTATTCAAATCTAGAAAAATCATCAATAAAAGTGATAAAGTATGACATCTTTCTATGAGTTTTAACATTCAGGGACTCACAAATGTCTGAGTGGACTACATTCAATAACTCATTAGCTCTCTCCCCTTTATTGAATGATTTCCTAGTCATTTTTCCTGATAAACAATGCTGACAGGTTGGAAAATCTACATTATTTAGATTTAGAATAAGACTTTTCTTTATTAACTTTTTCATTTTGTCTTTTCCTATGTATAGCCAAGCCTAAGATGCCAAATATATGCATCAACAACCATTACACTATTAATATAATCAAAATAAGAAGAAATTTTATTGTCTAAGTGTGGTTATCAACTAAGTGTCCCCAAGCATAAATTTGTCTACGCTTTTCGATTGATACTTTCAATGATCGAAAGCGGAGTTCAAAGCCATTTCTAATGAGCAAGGGGACAGATGCAATATTCGTCTCATAGAAGGGACAAAATATACATCAGTAAATACAAAGTCGATTTTCGCTACATACAACCTATAAGTTCCTACATCTAATACTTTAGAATATGTGTTGTTCCCCATGTAGATGCGTTTGTCCCCGGCTTCTATCTCTTGAAAGTTCTCGAAAAGGCTTTTTGAACTTGTGATATGCCGATTAGTGCCAGAGTCCACCCACCATCCTTTGATGTTGTGGTCTTCCATCAAGCACTCATAAGACCACACAAATAACTTCATACCTCTTACTTTCATTCCCGTTATTTTTTGGAGTTTACAGGTTTCTATTTTGTAGGTAGTGGTTCCTGAAGTGTCCTGGCTGACCACATAAGAAGCATTTTTGCAGTCCTTGTTTAGTTTCGTTGTAGGACTTAATTCCTCTGTTTTTGAACCTATTGTTCCCCTTATTAAACTTCCCTTGAAATTTCTGGTTGTATAGCTTGGGTTGGCTAACTTTGGGAGGTCCTTGAGTAAGCATGAGTTTACTCTTTTTATCTTTGTTCATATGCTCTTGCTCTAAGGCAAATTACATAGGTAGGTCCCCTAATGGAAGAGATTTTGCTTTCAACCTAAGTGTAATTGTTACCATCCTCCATGAAGGTGGAAGACTATTTAAGATAGTTTGAAACTTGCATGCGCTCGGGGGCTTCATTCACAACAATGGCTAAGTCCTTAGCCAGAACGAGCATCTTGTTAACATGTTCCACTACATTATTACCCTCATTCATCTTAAATGAATTATATTGCTCTAATAGCAAATGGAGGTGTGCTTTAGAGGTTGAGTCATATTTAGTTTTTGCTATGAGGTCATCTTCTAAAAGTTTTCTAACTTTTTATTTTCTTCTTCAGTCGGTTTATCAGCAACTATTGGTGGATCATTTTTTAGTACATATATGATTCTATCTTGGATGAAGAGATATTTCATCTTCCACTTCCACATCCCCAAATTGTTTCCATTCAATTTTTCTACTTTAGAAAGTTCGTCTATTACAATTCTACTGGCCATTTGCTAAGGTTTTATGTGAGTAAACTAATATTTCTAAGTTCTAAACAAGGCACCAAAACTTAATATGTGGTCAACACCTATACAAAGAGAACTGCAATTATTTCATAAATAATGTAAGTTATTAATTGATGCCTTAAAATTTTTTTTTTGAAAAAGGCATTCTTCAAAACTATAACCAAGCAGTATAATTATCAAATGTAATATAAAAAAAAATCCTCTTTATATTATTTATCAAGGGTGCAAGAGTAATATCAAAGTGTGCGAGCCCTTCTAATAAAAGAACAAATATCAAGTATCAATTTCTATATCACACCAAGACAGTAAGTGCATTAATTGCATTCAAATATCAGCAAAAAAAAAAAAAAAATAAAAATAAATAAATAAACAATGGGGAAATAAATAAGTTTATACATAAGAAAATACCTAATCATAACAATATTTTACAAGTATCATGCTGGTCCTCAAGTCTTGCCCCTTGCATGTTCTTATGAAACTTGAGATAAGCACGTTTCACACAATAATACCAATAGAGGTTTATTGTTTTGAAAACATATGAATAAGATAAAACATATACTTCACGTATGCCTCACCATTAAACATATACTTGAATATATGTGAATCCAGTATAAGATAAGTGTGAGCAGTATAAGATAAAGCGTGAGCGTGAGAAGTATAAGATAAAACAATAATTCACTGCAATAATACCAATAGAGGTTTATTGTTTTGAAAACATATGAATAAGATAAAACATATACTTCACGTATGCCTCACCATTAAACATATACTTGAATATATGTGAATCCAGTATAAGATAAGTGTTAGCAGTATAAGATAAAGCGTGAGTGTGAGAAGTATAAGATAAAACAATATGGAAGATGGAACCTGATCGCTCTGATACCAGTGAAAGTGAAAATTGATGGAGCACGTGACCAACCAGATATTAGAGAAGGGGTGCCGTGAGGTTGGTGATCACAAAGCCCGGATCTTTTAATTTTCCCTTCTTCTTTTAAAAAGAGAGAAATATAATCCTTTTTTTGATCTATATGCATTATCTCTCTGACTTCTCATTTTATAGGGAGAAGAAGAGGTAACCGCTGTATTCTCCAACGGGTCTTTGAGAAACGAAAGATTCCCTGATCTCCAACAGGTTTCTGAAGGGTTAAGCTCATATGGATATGACTGTTGGATGAAGGGCTATGTTCATATGGATATAACTGTTGGATATATGGAATTCCCACAAGTGTAGGCAGAGACACGTAAGGCGTCATAGCCATACATGTCAACAAAACTATGTCAAAAAGTTTAGAGAGAAATTATCTCAAATTTTATGTTTTAAAGATAGCAACAACCTAAAAGTTCTTAAAGATAGAATCTATCGCAAAATATTTAGAGAAAGAAACTCTTTCAAAATTTAAGTTTTAGAAAGAGAGAATCTTAAAATTTTAAGTCTTTGAAAGAGAGAATCTTAAAACTTTAGATCGAGAAACTAGCTCAAATTTTAAGTTTTAGAGAGAGCAAGTACCTAATATTTTTTAAAGAGAGAAAATATCTCAAAATTTTTAGAGAGAGAAACGATCTTAAAGTTAAGTTTCAGAGAGAGAGTAACTGAAAATTTTCAAAGAGAGAAACTATCTCTAAATTTTTTAGAAAATTAAACTATCACAAATTTTAAGTTTTAAAAAGGTTATCTTAAAAGTTTAGAAAGAGAGAAAAATTATATCAAATTTTAGAGTGGTGCACTGCATAAAAAAAAAATTAGAGAAAGAAAGAGTCTCAAAAGTTTTTGAGAGTAACTATCTCATATTTTAAGTCCTAGGGAGAAAAGTATCTTAAGATTTTAGAGAGAGAAAATACTTGAAATTTTAGAGAGAGAAACTTCTTAAACTTTTTAGAAACTTCTTAAACTTTTTAGAGTGAGAAACTATCTCAAATTTTAAGTTTTAAATAGAGAAAATATGTTAAAAGTTTATAGAAAAACTTCATCAAAATTTCATGATTGAAACTACTTGAAAATTTTTAAAAAGAGAAACTTACTCAAAATTTTATGAGAGAGAAATTATCTCAAATTTAATAAAAATGATATTATAATTATTATACATCGAAAAAATTTAATAAAAAAAACAACAAAAGCCATGAAAATATTATGCATCCATGTACCATCCAAACAACATAAATCTATTTTATATGAAATAAATTAATCAAAAAATACATTTTAAAGAAAGTAGATTTTAACACGTAATCTTTTTCCATGGCCCGTAACTTGTACATAAGGTTAAAATGCTAATTCTTTCTGACACCTCCGTATATCTAGTATTCTATTGAATAAAATTGAAGTTCATAAAACCATGCAACAACAAAGGGCCACGGTAGTGTTGGCGAACTTTTCAAGTGGCTCTTATTGAATTAATTTATATTAATATATAAAAAAAGTTATGTTAGGTTATGCATATTATAGAGCATTTTATAATTGTACTCAACAAATTTTAGATAAATATATAACATGGTTTTGTAATATAATATTTTTTAGTAAGGTTATTTTTAGTCATTAGGAGGTATGCGAAATTATCGATATAGAATATGACATCACCAATATGGAGTGTTAAATGTCATTAATGTGTTTTATCTGGGTGATGTCATACCCAATGTGGATGATGTCACACCGATCCTATTAACCAAAATATCCATATTAAAAAAATGTAAAACTGTTTCACGCAGGCTGAATCGCATGACTACATATGTGGTCCAAAAAGTGTAAAGAATCCATCTTAAAGAGGGATGCAAGTAGGTGTTCCATCTAAAAACAATGAAAATTAACAGTCCAAATGTTTTCTTACTCGAATTATTATTTCTAATTTTTAAAATTTATTTATTTATTGACATTCATGATCTCCATGTTAGAGATTCCATGCCCTTAAAAATTAAGTGCAAAAATCCATCTCAAAAATAGATTTATGAATAGGCCCACATTTCTACATATATGGGCTTGGCCGTATAGAAACCGGGTCCTAAAAACATATTCAATGTACAAAAGAACTATATATAAGTGTCTAAGAATTGGTGAGTACAATAAAAATGTCAACATTGTACAAGAAGGTCAAATATGCGTGACGGTAGCATTCAGTATTTGCCAGAGCATTATATATCATAAAATTTCTCCATCTTGTACCTCATGTTTGCGAGATTCTAAAATATCTACAAGAAAATTTCTCCATCATCTACCTCATAAAGAACAAAGTGATATTGGACATTAATGTACCTAGTGCTATCATGGAAAGTTGGACTACTTTGCAAAACAAAGGCACTTCGTGATTCACAGTGAGGCAGTACCCCGTTTTGCACAACCCTAAATTCTTCAAGTAACATGTTTAGCTAAAATGCTTGTCATTATAATATAATGAAACCACACTTCTAAAAAATTATGTTCATAGTATTTATTTGCCCCCAAACTTGGCCTGCACACTCTTCATCCTAATAATCAATATCAAAAAAAGTAAAATTCAATTTGCACCCTAATTATGGTTAAAATAAGTTCCATTCAACAATGAATCTAGACTATCCATTTGATGAATTTAAAGATATAAATTTTACAAATTCAAAAATCAATTATTATTTTTTAACATTGTTAACATAATAATAAGAAAAATATCTAAAAATTTTGGTAAGGAAAAAATTCTTTATGAGGCCCTATTTCTAAGCGTCTCACTAAAATGGACCACCTATATTGATTGGGCTAAAAATAAACCTTCGAGAGCGTGTTTCAAATTTTGCTTTATTTATATTGTTCATTAGAATTAAAATAGTGTATATTTAAAAATCGAAGTTAAATAAATAGCCCTAACATAGTGTTTGAAAATCGTTTCATTATATTACTATAGAGCCTTGGCATGAAATCACTTCCCATTCTTAATCTCAATAGAAACAAATGTCAATGTGAAAGAACCAAATAACTTGTAACATAATTTCTCTTAAGTCACCACAATAAAAAGCAGTTTAACATCAAAAAATTTCTAAGTTTGGAATACTAGCCTTAACCAAAAAGTCTAGTACTAGTCATGGCATCATGATAACAACAATTTCATCCATAAAAATTCATAAACACCAATATTTACTTAATTTGTGATGTCCGGATACTTCTGCCTTTTTGTGGTTGTAAAAGATTACCATGCTGTCAAAAAGAGAAGTGCAAATACACTACATAGACTAAGGGGTTGTTTGGATCCTAAGGTACCTAAAACCACATTTTGTATACCCAAGGTATCTTGCATAAAAACATGTTTGGCAATTTTTTTTTTTTTTTTTGGATACATCATGATTTTTGTAATCAAGAAAGATGGCCAAAACATGGGTACACAAAATAAAAAAAAAATTAGGTTATCCAAAACATGACTTTGTATAAGCATTAAAGAGAGAAACTATATCAAATTTCAAGCTTTTTGAGAGAGAAAGTATCTTAACACTATAGAGAGAAACTTTATCAAACTTTAGAGTGAGAAATTTCTTGAAAAGTTTTAGAGATAGAAACCTTCTCAAAAATATTAGAGAAAAATTATATCAAATTTTAAGTTTTAGATAAACAAAGTATCTTAAAATTTTATAGAGAGAAACTATAAAAAATTTTAGAGAGAAAAACTGCTCAAAAATTTTAAGAGAAAAACTATGTCAAGAATTTTAGAGAGAGAAACAATCTCAATTTCAACGTTTAGAGAGATAATGTATCGTAAAATTTTAGACAGAGAAACTTTATAAAAATTTAGAGGGAGAATTGCGTGAAAATGTTTTGAGAGAGAAACTATTTCAACAAATTTAGAGAGAGAAAGTATCTTAAAATTTAGAAGGACTAATTATATCAAATTTTAGAGAGAGATTATCTAATAACTTCTAGGGAGAGAAACTATCTTAAATTTTTTATAAAGAGAAACTATCTCAAATTTCAAATTTTAACAAAATAAATATCTTAAAATTGGAAAACGTTTACATAGAGCCTAGGCTCTAAAGAATCAAATTAGAACCCACCCCAAAAATTGCACTAGAAGAGGTTGTTTTGATGCCCAAATATCCTCAAATTCATCACGTCGACATCAAGATGTATGAACTTGATAAAAAAATGGATTTCAAGTTTTGGAAATAACGCATCTTTTAACTCATTTTTGGACCATCAATTTTCAAGATTTTCAAGTTTTCAAAGATCTGCTCGATCTACACTACTTTTTATCCTATAAATTTTATAATTAAAGATGACAACATATTTTAACGCTATCACAAATATTTCCAATATTGAAACCACATTTCTCTATACTATTTGAAGGTGCGCTTTACTATTATTGTTTAGGGCCTTGGCTCTATACAAATTGTACCCCTTAAAATTTTAGAGAGAGAAATACTTAAATTTTTAGAGTGAAATTATTTTAAATTTTTGGAGAGAAAAATTATCTCAAATTTTAATCTTTTGAGAGATAGTGTACCTTTAAATTTTAAAGACCCAAACTATAGCAAATTTTAGAGAGAGAAATTACCTAAAAAAATTTTGAGAGATACTGTCTCAAACTTTTTAGAGAGATAAACGATATCAAATTTTAAATTTTAGAGAGAGAAACTATATCAAAAATTTAGAGAAAGAAACAACCTGAAAATATTTAGAGAGTGAACTGTCTCAAAATATTTAGAGAGAGAAATTATATCAAATTTCAAGTTTTAGACCTAAAACTTTTGAGAGTGAAACCATAGCAAATTTTAGATAGAGAAATTACCTAAAATTTTTTAGAGAAAGAAATTGTCTCAATTTTTTTGGAATGAGAAATTATATCAAATTTTAATTTTTTAGAGAAAGGAACTATTTCAAATTTTTTAGAGAGAGAAACTATCTCAAATTTTTTATAGAGAAAAATTTCTCAAAATTTCGAGTTTGATATGTTCTCTCTATGAATGCAATAGCAAATTAAATCATACAAAAAATGATCCAAACATGAAATTTGCATAATTTGGGGACCGTTCAAAACCATCCGTACAAGTCATGTTTGAGTAACTGGGTTTTAAGTTTTAACGTAGTCAAGATTTTAATTCACAAGCTCTATTTGTTAACCCATGGAGCCAAACAAGCCCTAACGCATCTATCCTACCGCGTGATGTGAACAATGTTCCTCAAGCACCCATCTGTCATTATACACATGAATGTAGGTGCACGTGCACCGCGCATGGTCCACGTGGGAGTGCTCTTATACATTTCAACCTAAATATGTTCCATATACTCGCTCTAATAACTGAGATTGTATGCTATGAGTCAAGATGAGGGCTTAATTTCAAACATCAGTATTAATTAATGAAAAAACAAATAAGATGAAGAAAAAGATCCTCCTTTTCTCGCTTTTTTTTATAAACATTACAATAATTTTATTAAGGGTGCAGTTGGCATACAAATGCATCCGTAGCTATAGAGGTAACGTTCACCTTCAAATTTTATCATGGCATAAAATTTTGATGTAAAATGTTCTTAGGATTATCTCAAAATCTATTTTTATATCTAATTATAAAATTTTAAATTTCAAAAATAGTTAAAATCAAGTAGATCTATAAACATAAGAAAATCTTGAAAATGGACGGTGTAGATAATATGTTGTAAAATGTACTATTTATGAGACTGAAAATCTTTTTATTTCATAGATCTCGATGTTGAGATGATCAATCAAAGGATTTTTCAACATGAAAAGTACTTTTTCCAATGGATTTTTAAAGTGCATTCGTAGTTCTACATTATAAAGTTGCATCCTTATATAAACTTTTTCCTTTTTATTAATCCTGAGAGGAAAGGTTACAACATTGTTTTGCTTTATTAAAAGAAAGCAGAAGACTCTCAGGGATACCCTTCTTCACCTACCGCTTATTTCGCTAACTCATCTGCTTCTCTATTTGCTTCCTTATACACAGGATCCGGCGTAGAAGAGAGAGAAAAAGAGAAAGAAGATAGTCTTCTCGCTCTTGTTCTTCGAATCCTGTGGCCGCCTTTGACTTTCAGACGTAATGTAAGCATGGAACAGCAGGATAACAAATACCTCCTACGGTGCCCTGGACATTGGAGCAGTAAGAGGTGGTCTTGTAGTAAGCGTTACTGGTATTAAGCTCAATATTATACAACACTATGTCAGTGCATGGGACAGTCTGGCTGCAATCCAGCGTCACCGCCAATGGCTTCTCCGAAGTGCCATAAAGACCGATGAACTTCACATTGCTAATTTTAACAGCTGATTTCTATACAAATAAATCAATAAAAATAGGTCAGTAGATAAGGCAACAGAAAAATATTAGGTAGAGTTAGTGAATTTACTTAGACATATGACAGAATATGCATGACAAATGCTCTGCGTAAGCGTGTTCAAGCGTGTGTGTATGCGTGTGTGAGAGAGATGTTACCTTATCCTGGCAGGTTGTATGTGGGCAATAGTTCTGATCGATGATAACAGGATTTTCCACGTTCCAGAAGTTGAGATTTTGGAATGCAATGTCTCTAGCAAATCCAGATCCGCCCTACAAGAATTCTGATATATTAATTTCTTAAAATTCAGATACATAGATTATTCATATCCTTTAGGCACTGGAGCTTGATTTGCACTAGGAAGGTTCGTATCCTAGGCCTCTCCCATGTAAAACGTCATAAAAATAGCTTGATGACTACTGATAATAATTTCAGAAGGTTGGTTATCTGATTATATGGAATATAAATTACTTGTATCTCTAACACAAAATATATTTTTTCTAAAGGAGGTATTTTTTTTCTATTTTTGGTACTTCAGATAGAAATCAAGCTTGGAACATAGTGTTCTAAATTTTAATAACAGATCAATCAAACCCTAGCCCAAAAATTTAAACATGGTTCAAATGACCAATTCGTTCACACATTTTGCAAATTTTTCAACAGGGGCCAAATGACCAATTCATTCCCATTTTCCGCTAACCATCTGTGTAAAATGCTTCCTATTCAAGAAAAGTAGAGGTTTACTCACCTGCCATGTCTTAATCCTTGCCCCATTTGTAGTTCCAGTGAAGTACGAGTCCCAAACATATATCCTTTCCACAGTTTCCGTGGACCCACCTTGGCCTAGACTTCCAATGCTGCATAAGAAATACCTCAAGTTATTAACATTTAGAAAAACACAAGAAATAAAAAATATTCTTTTGGCTAAGCAATTAACAAAATTCTTTTAAACATGGATAAAAATTCTCTTAAACATCGATAATTATTTATTATTGGGTGGGTGATACAAAATCAACCATAAGGTATTTCTCTCATTGTTTAAGGCTGTTTTGATCGAAGATAAAATAACCTTGATGAGCCACATAAAAGTCATTTTAAACAGAGAAAAGTTCATGAGGGGAACTCTTGGTAAGCCCTACCTTTATTGTGCCCTTGTATTAGGCTAGATTTATTGAAATTTTTTTGCTCCAACAAAGTTGGTTAAATATGTCAAAAAAAGACGTTGATTGGTATTATTTCTATGGTAGGGAAAAATCAATTTGAGTTTTTGTTGCCATTGTAAGGTAATCTCTCTAAATGCACAAAACTCAAGGTAATATCTCTAAACGCACAAAACTCACAATTTCCTCCATTGATAGTGCGTTCATTCTTGATGACGGCCCGTATATTTGGTCTGATTAGAGTGAACCACGTATATTTGTGTATTTATGATTGAATTATTGTTTCTAGTGCCTTGTTGTGTTTTTGTATTCCCTATTTTGCTTCTCTTGATTTTTATTTTACTTTTTTCAAATTTATTTCACAATGTACTAGTTTTGGATGTCTTGATTTCTTGTAATCGATTTGCTTGTGACAAGCGAGTTGGTTTCAAGGCATTGGATTTGTTGTATCAGAACGGTTCACTACAATAAGGGGTAATCGAGCAGGCCTTCGTTCCCAACAAATGTTATTAGAGCTCAAAAAAAGTGTGCAGTAATTCAGTAATTTACGTTTTTGTTAGTTGCAAATTTGAAGTAGAGAAGTTCGATGGAATGAATGATTTTGAATATTGAACAATAAAAGTTCATGATATATTAGTACAATAAGATCTTTATAAAACTACAAGGAAAATCTAAGAAATGAAAGAATATGAATGATCATGATTGGGAAGAATTGGATAAGAAGGCACTTGCCACAATTCCCTTTAGTGAATTAAATATCATTTAATATCTTAGGAGAAAAAATCACAGCATATTTTTGGGCAAAGCTAGAATGCTTATACCAAACATAGTCCCTCAAAAATCAATTTTTTTAGAAATTACAATTGCATGCTTTGAGGATGAGAGGTGGTATGAAAGTGTCGGAACACTTGAATGAATTTCAACAACATAATTTTTTAGCTCGAGAGCATCGGGATGAAGATAGATGAGGAAGATAAAGCAATGAAACTACTATATTTATTATTCAAAAGATGGAGAAAAATAAAAATACTGAATCCATCTAATCTTGATCAGCATCAGGTAGATCTGCCACAACAGGGGGATAATCGAGCAAGTCCCGGTTCCCAACAATTACTCGCTTTTGCGAAAGTAGAAAGCAGCATGATAGGTAATGCAAATTTGTATCATTTAGTGACTGGATCCATAACCACATTCTCAATAGTAACAACTAAAAGAAAAGAAAAAGGAAGAACAAATTGTGCATTAAAATGAAATTAACAAGCTACCTTATGCCATGGCCAGGTCCACATGCGATTTGTGAGATATTTACATCATAAGTGCCATCACCGATGGAAATGCAATCATCACCTACAACAAATATGGTCAGCCATATAGATATTTAAGGAATGTTACTTTCCTTTCAAGAGAAAGTTCATTTCATAGTACTTAATCCTACTGGGAAAGAATTAAATCTTGATCGAAACATGGGAACACAATACACTTTTTTATTCAAATCATAGGACAGTTGCTGATCATATAAATTGCAGAATTTGAAATCAACTCAAAGTTTTTACTGTATAAAGCAAAAATTCACCCCTCCGAAAAATAGAGCCACTTAGTAAAACTTAACAATTTATATTTGCAATGCAAAAGGGCCGTAATTCGGTGCTGGTCCCACATAAGCTGGTCTAAGAGGGGTGGGCTGGAAACCGTTCAAACATTTGACTTATGCATAAAGTGGCCGCTCTCAGGATTCGAACCCGCGCTCTTGTGCTGGCTGTTGGAGCCTTTTACCGTCGCACCAAGTGACAGCCCTTTTTATTGCAATATAATAAGGAAAATTCACTGATTACATTCACAAGAAAAAGAGATTACTTCAATGAAAATCTTAGAGAGAGATGCAGGAGAGAGAGAGACAGAGAGAGAGAGAGAGAGAGGGGAGGACCAGTGGCTATGGTAGAGTTTTTAATGGTGACATGCTGAGAGCCTTGGATGTGTATGCCATCGGTGTTTGGGCTGTCTCCTGGTGCTGTCATATGCAGTTGCTCCATGTAAACATAAGTGGAGTCCTCTATTTTCATATGTTGTTGACCTGGGTTCACAAAGTGGAGGCCTCTCACATACAAATTATCACAGTTATGGAAAGCCAATGCCTGCACAAAACCACAATTAACCTTAAATTGGATTGATTAAGATTGATTCATTATAAAAACCACACCACAATACAAAACATCTCAACTACAATTGTAATGCTTAAAGTATAAATATACTTATTAGTAATTAACTGTAATAATTATTTATTAATTTCTCTTTCAAATTTTAGAAATATAATTATGTTCACTTGGCTATGGCAAAGGAAACCATAGTTATCTATTTTTTCATAATTTTCAAGACTTTGAAATTCAAAGAACCAAATTTTATTCTATAAAAGGAATTTACAATCAATTTTATTCTATAAATATTTTCCAAAATTATTTCCATTTTATTTTCCATAATCAACAAGTATATGTTTTTTTATTTTTAGTTCAAATATTTTAACCTAAAAATATAATATAGGTTTTAAAATATTTTATATTCTATTATTTTTTGATGTATTGAAATTTTATGCCAAAAGATATGCTGTTCTCGAGAGAGCATGATGTCCATTTGCTCCCTCAGTTAAATTTCAAGGCAGGAATACTTTAAGGACCCCAAATTTTTGGGATGTGACCTGTTAATCGCAGAAATCAACTTCAAAAAAGAAGTTTTTCAAAAAAGAAATTTTTCAAGTCGCATGTTCTATAATCAAGAAAAAAATTAATGTCTTCAAGATTGAACATCGAATGTACCATTTATGGAGGGCAAGATTTAGTTGTTGAAGAACTCAAAATCCAACTTTTTTTATTTGGAAATAACTATTTAATCATGAGATCCCAAAAATTCAAAAAAAAAAAAAAAAATCTTCCATAAAATCTTTTCTCCGGCAGAGTTAGTGTACACCATGCTCCCATGTACACTATGCTCCCACAGGAGCATGCTATAAGTGCTAAGATTTGATTCGAAACTCATTTTTCTATTTTTAGAGTGCTTCTAAAGTACAAAATTTAAATAATCATTAACAACTAAGTTTAAATACTTTTATATTATTTATGACTAATTTTTTAATTCCTCGAAATAAATACTCAATTTCCAAGCTTTCTTTTTTTCTTCTTCTCGTTTCTCATTACAATTTGTAAGGTACTCTTATCCGGTGCTGTTGGCAGTGGTGAAAATAACAACGACAAAGGAAAAATGGATAATGGGTAGGGCCTCTCATCATCACTGCATTACCTAAAAAATTAAAAAATTAAAATAAAATAACATAAAAGATTTGTAAAAAAAAAAAAGGAAAGGAAGACTTACCGCAGGACCCCTTTCATAACATCCCTGTTGACAACAACCACAAATCTCACCATTAGAATTAAATAGTTTTCTCCCATTTGGTAAAAGAAAGACTAGAAAAAATCATGAAATTTGATACATAATCCCGTAATAACAAAGAAAAGCATACTATGTAGTAGATGGGTTTCGAATAGGATGCAACAACTTCTCACCCATCCAATGCCAACATCAAGTGGTCGAGTGTAATTCCTCCATTCAAATAATATCAAACTTTAATGTGAGAATGAGGTCTCTCTTGTACCACTTTTTTTTATTTTCCTAATCAAAGGAGGGCACGGAAGCCAAAGCTTATCGTCATCCAAGTTCTTATGTTAAGAATATCAAAAAATGCCGAATAAAAATTTGCACTGTAATAATTTATCATATTCGGAATTTATCAAATTACCAATCAGAGATTGCCAATTTTAACGCTTTATCCAAATTTTTCGATTTAATTTCAAAATACCCATTAAAAAAACACATATCTTGAGTTGAATGAAGGAATCTAAAACATTTAATGATCATACATGTACCAAACTAAACAATTAGAAACATTATCGGCACCATGACATGCTTTTCCCCTCGTAGTAATAGTAGTAACACACATATGGACTTAAGGTTGAATGAGGAAAATTACATGGAACTGGTTTTCAATGCATCTTTTGGGCCACCACAGTTGTCCTTTGCCATCGATGGTGCCATCACCTTCGATATTAAGGCCATTCGTAAGTTTGATGGCGATCCACTCATTTAAATGGCCACCCCAAACTGAATCTGTGTCTGGATAAGCAACAATGCTTCCAAAAACCTGCACTCAAAGGAATAAAACAAATGCAATTTTTTAATTCTGTGGAACAGGTAATCCTTCTGTGCTCTCTCTCTCTCTCGACAGAAGATTACCTAACTTTATTGCTTAATAAAACATATTACATCCGTTAATATCGCCTCCAGGCCAAACGCTAATTAAACAATCCTAATACATCCGTAAGAACAAACAACAAAGTAACATTATTAGCTCAAACAGTCATTCACCTGCCAGCAGATACAACCGCCTTAGCTAATTCATTTGCCATAGAAGTTTTTTTTTCCGGTATACATGAACCCAGAGTTCAAAAACTCGACTCGACCAAGGTACTCGAGCCTTGGCCGAAGCGATGTACTAGGTTGAGTTATTTGGACTCGCCCGAGTTAAGTTTATTTTTAAAAAAAAAAAATGAAGAAAAACACATTAACGGTATATTTGCTGTGCAATTTTTTAACAGCAAATAGCTAATGGCATGTTGGTTATGCCGAGGGATAGTGGGGCCTCCCTAACAGTGGTTGCACAATAATTTATAAAATTACTGTAGAACCAACTGGCTTTAAATTTCCCTCGCCAAGCCAAGAGAGCAAGGCCGAGTTACTCGGTCGAGTCTAAATAGCTTCGGCCAATTTCAAAACCATGCATGAACGAATTGGCACTCCACATCAACACACATCTTTCAATTCTTCCAACCGCAAAATCAATGATTATGAAGTTTGCATTTCTAATGTAATTCATCTTATAACATTCAAATGAGTCTGCCTCGACAATCACTTTCAGCTGGATGGATTTCTAAAAAATAAAAAACTATATATATATTAAAAAAATTTGTTAATTTATCTCATAAAAACCAGGTAGTATAACAGGTTAAACACTGTTCTTGACTGATTTTGGACTAAACCCAACTTTTCTTTTAGGAGCAAAACGATCAAGGAGTGGACAGGCATTCTCGCCGGTTGTGATCTCTCTCTCTCTCTCGAAGGTGCATACCTGAATGGTGATCGGAAGAGAGTGTGCAGGCATTCTTACCAGTTGTGATCTCTCTCTCTCTCTCTCTCTCTCTCGAAGGTGCATACCTGAATGGTGATCGGAGTAGAATGACAAGGGCCCTCCAAGGTGAGGGGAGCGAGTAAAAAGGACTTCCCGCCCGTAACGATGAGATTTGAGGGACTCATACTCTTGCACGTTGCATCCCATGCTTTAAAAAACGCCTAACACCAAAACAATATAACAAAATATAATCATCTACCCTTTCTCTCAAAATTCTCACTATATATTATATATATAAAAAAAAAGGGTGCAATTTGCATACGGATGCATTTGTAGCTGTAGAGGTACGGTGCACCTTCAAATTTTATCATGGTATATTTGATGTAAAATGTTCTTAGAATTATCTCAAGAACTATTTTTATATTTAATTATAAAATTTTAAATTTTAAAAATGGTTAAGATCAAGTAGATCTATAAACATATTAAAATCTTGAAAATGGATGCTGTAGATAATATGTTGTAAAATATACTATTTCTGAGACTTAAAATCTTTTTATTTTCATGGTCATACATCTTGATATCGAGATGATCAATCAAAAGGTTTTTCAACATTAAAACTATCCTTACCGATGGATTTTTTAGGTGCATCCGTAGCTGTAGAGATAAGGTTGCAACCCTATGTAAACTTTTTCATATAGAAAATGCTCTGCCGACCCACTAAACAACCTTTTATCCTCATCTTTCTCTAAAGGGTGCAGTTGGCATACAGATACATCCGTAGGTGTAGAGGTAAGGTGTACCTTCAAATTTATCATGGTATATAATTTTGATGTAAAATGTTTTTAAGATTATCTCAAAATCTATTTTTATATCTAATTATAAAATTTTAAATTTAATGAATGGTGAAAATCAAGTAGATCTATAAACATATGAAAATCTTGAAAATGGACGGTGTAGAAAATATGTTGTAAAATGCACTATTTCTGAAACTTAAAATCTTTTTATCTTTCATAGTCATAGAACTCGATATCGAGATGATCAATCAAAGAGTTTTTCAACAATAAAACTACCTTTTTCAATATTAAAACTACCTTTTTCAATAGATTTTTAAGGTGCATCTATAGTTCTACATTATAAGGTTGCATACTTATATAAAAAATTTTCCTCTCTAAACCAAACTCAAAAGTTAAAGAGGGATCACTATCACTTGCTTTATCCTTGCGCATGAAGGTCAGTCTCATATCCGCCGTTCGTGAGAGAGAGGAACTACTCCCAAGGGGGTAGAATGCACATTGACTCCCTCGCATAACATCTCGTCTAGAATTAATATTGGGAACCAGATCTTTGATGATGTAATCTCTTCGACCCATAGAATATTCTTAATTAAGAAAAGTTCTAATTGCATCATGTATGCATTTGAAAAAAATAATGTCTTAATATTAAAAAGATACCACCTTATTCTTAGATGGCGAGATCGAGTGTTCGCAAAACTGACTGGACTGGACCGGCTTACCTTGAACCAGCTACTGGCCGTAGCCCGTTTTGGCCGCTTAGGGAGGTCACGCTAAGAAATTTAAAAAATTCAAACAAATTATAAAAAACCAAAAAAATAAGTAATTTATTTGTAATCGGTTTTATAGCGGTTTTATTATTATTTTGAAAAAGATTGGAAAGTATTTTTTTTTCATAAATACTTATTTTTGTATTTTACCTTCTCTAAGATTATTTCTAAAATACCTCTGGACACAAATTCACTTTTTCACCTCTTTTTTAATCTGATTGGATGTATTTTGTTTACCTATTCTTTGAGCATACTTTTGATATATTTTGAGTTTTTTTAAAAAATAATTTTACCCTTTATAGCCTGATCGGGACCTGCCCGATTATACCCTATTACCTGACCGGTTCCCAGTTAACCACCCCCGGCCCAAAGCTGGGTTATGTTCACAGGTCGTGTTTTCTAACCAAACCATGGTGAGATCTAAGAGATAGAAAATTCAATTTTTAATCTTTTTTTTAGAATAATCATCTAGTAATTCTTCAATTGGCTCATAAAATTTCAGATTGAAAAACTTGACCAAAGTAGGTCTTGTGATTGAAGGAGTAGGTAAAAACCTTACGCTTCAAAAGAACATATTATAAGTCAGATAGATTATAAGAGGGAGATTTAGAAAGTGGCTTCTCTTTATGAAAGTTTCATGTACCGACCTGCGTATCATCAGTTTTGCCATCGCCGACCGCACCGAAACTCGACACGTCGAAATATGTTGTCGCTTGGGCATCCCCATTCAATGTACGAGCCCAGCCCATGTTAAAGCTACCCATAAGTAGTACAAATATTGCGATTATGCCCTGCAACGGTTACCCGTTAATAAATTATGACAAACGAGAAAATATCTCTTTGTATCTTCGGAATTTGAACCGTAAACGCCTTAAAGAACAGTGAGACAAGAGAGAGAGACTCTAAAACCTAAAAACTCTTTTCCCTAAGATCGCGCGTAAGCTTTATGAAAACAAAGTAAGGATTCACCTCGAATCTTCATCCAAAGAGCACTTTGAGCAAAATAAATCTCCAACTAAAATCAATTTTCAACGCCCACTGTGAAATTTCAAGCTAAAAAAAGGATATGGATTTTAGAGATCCATAAACATTTTAGGACAAAATGAACAGATGATATGCTGTAATATACATTATTTTTAGGATTTAAAATCTTAATTATTTTTCCAACTACAATGGTCAAAGTCGAGATGAATGATTTGAAGATTTTTTGACACTAAAACTATAAATTTTTGTGAGTTTTGAGATGAGGCTTTACTTATTTTGATTGGGCTGCTTCTCTATCAAAACACTTCCTTTTAACTATGCCAACAAGAGAGAAAAAAATGGGGAGAGAGAAAGTGAGAAGAGAGAGAGTAACTACCATGCAACCCGATATATATATATAAATATATATATAAAATAAAAAATAAAAAATGCTTACTTCGACTCTACCAATAATATATAATAGGAGAAAATATTAAAACCCCCCTTGACTCAATTTTCTTAACATTTTCCCCCAATAGCTTTTTAAAACACTAATAAAAACCCTAGTGAAGAGGTCAAAATATTTATGACTAAATACCTTTATACCTATGTTTTCGTAGTACTAATCCAGCGTAAAACATTGTCAGACTAGCTTCAGGAGCCGATGCCAAACCGACACATTTTTTGTGACGATCCGACACATCTTGTGTGCTAGACCGTACTCATTTTCGGGTTCGGTTGCTGGACCAGCACGGATTCCTTTTTCAAACCGGCACCAAAAAAAAAAAAAAAATTTGTAAACACGGGTCAAATGGGGTTAGAATCAAAAGAAAATAATACTAACATTTTTTTAGTGTTTTAAAAAGTTGTTGAGGGGAGGATGTTAAGAAATTTGAGTTAGTAATTTTATGAGCAGACATTATACAAGAGAGAAAATTTCAATCTACGACTTCTCGAACTCATCTTTCTGCTTCTTCTTCAACACAGACGAAATATGGTTATTTTAGCTATCTACTAACAAAGCATCACCCCACTCCTTCCCAACAAACACAGAGAGAGAGAGAGTAATTATTTACTCACCACCATGCTGCTCCCTCTAAATAAACCAAAGAAAGTGTGAAAATGAAATGTGAGCTTCAGAGTAGAGGCAGAGAGGAGAATTGTAGTTTCTCTAAAAATCATCTAGTGCCTACTTCTTTATTTTCCTCATGTGGACACACATATATATGCTTAACTTTCTCAGTTAATTTATAAATAAATAAAAATTGCCACAAAAAAATCTCAGTATTTTATCATCAGATTGTCCAGCTGTATTATCATGCTTGTAATAATGCATGCATACCCTTCTCTCTGTCTTATTTATTCAGATAATCACTAGTTATATAAGTATTGACAAATTATTCTCTCTCTCTATCTCTCTCACCACTAATTAATAAAAAAAGATTAAAAAAACTATCACAGACGAGGTATACCATAATAGAAGAACACTAAATATGGTCCATGAAAATCTGTCTCCTTTTTCAAGAAATAAAATCAAAATGCAATAATGAAAAATGCATGAAGGAAGGAAGACTCACATTCGGTTGAGCATGGTTCAATTGTCTAACAAATCTTAATTAAAAAGAGTGGCCCATTGTAATCTATTTTAGATTGTGCAAATATCATTAGTGGCTATAAGGTTTGACTTGGTGTATGAGAGAGACTCACTACCATTAGATATTTTAGAAAAGGGAAATAAAGCATAATTAGCCATATAAGGAGTCCCAAACTGTACTTACCAAAAAAATCTTATAGAACCTTATCTTTTATAAAAGCTCCGATATTTAAAAGATTGTTTTAGATTGGAAAATTCTAATTTTGGAGTCTGGAAGCTCGAGCTTTTGATACACAAAAAGAAAAAATATTGTGTTTGGATGATCTTTCTCGAATTTGGGAAATTTGGAGATCTAGACACTAGGCAGTTTTAACCTTATATAACTATTCGAAAGATCGAACCGGGTCGGGCAACTGGCATGGACTGGTTCCGGTAAACTCAAAACTAGGCTGGTAAGCTGGTCCGATTGGTCAAATAAAATAACAAATCTAAATGTGTCAAAAACCCAATAAAAAGTAAAAAACGTACATTTTATGTATATTTTTTATGAGATTGTATATAATGAGACGATTTATCTTTGGAATAGGGATGTCACAATTACTTACAACCATCTGATGTGAAATCTGATAACTTTGGTGTGTCACAAAGTTTGAGAAAATGTCTTTTGAACTTTGAGCTTGGTAAATGAAATAAATGCAGCCACCCATTTGATGCATATCCAAATTTGGATGCTACAAATTTTAATTTTATTTTTGTTAATTTTATTTTTAAAGATGTTGGTAGACTTTTATTTATTTATTAGAAGAGTTAATTGTTATAAATAAGATTTAATAGGATTTTTAGGTCAAAGATGGTTATCTCTTGTATTAGTTGGAAGTACAAGTGTTTATCTTTATTTTTTAGGAAATATATTGGGAGTGTTATCTTTTTAGATTGGGTTAAAACTGGGGAAGATAATGAATCACGTAGGTGTAAAAGGATGACGTAGGGAGTTGTAATTATCTTTTAGGAAATTGGATGGAAGAATATGGAAAGATTCTAGAGATAGATCCATTTTGGTTAATAATTATAATTTCTTTTAAAAGGTTTTCTTTTGAGAGTCACAAGAGATGATAAACTGAATATGTAAAAGAGGGAGGCACGCACCATGCAAAGGAGATTGGATTTTATGAATGGAAAAAAAATGATCATTGAGATTGTGTAGATTGAGAGAGAGAGCCATTTGGGGTTGTTTTTTCTTCTTCTTTATTTTTGGGCCCGTGTCGGAATACTCGTATCCACGCGTTTTGTTCTTTCTTCTTGAAATTTCCTTCACGAGTTGTATTTCTATTTCTTAAAGGCGGTTAATCTTTGCTGGTGGTATTGCCGATAAATTTTGTACTGTGTCAGGTGGTATAAGAGAACAATCGATTCTTGTGGATTATGGTGTTCGTCAATTAGCATCATGGCCCGTAGACAAAGTCTATGGCTTGGTATCAGGACTCAACCCATCCAGCGAGCATGAAACTTCCGAGCTCTCTGAGAGATAGAGAACAAAAGTTTGAAAAGAAATAAGAGGAGCTGACCATACACTTGTCGCAAAAACTAGCTTCGACACACTATGATGATGGTCGTGAGTCCGATGCTATCCTGTTCCATACCAATGGTTTTAGTTGGGAGCTTCATGGTTGAGAGAATGATCTATTTCCTCGGGGTCAGGCAATTCATTTACCTAAGTTTGATGAAGAGTCAGTTGAAGATGAAGAATGTCTGGTTTTGGATCTTCAATAGAAATCATCATTCATGGATATCACAGGTTACCCCATCTTTGATGAAGTTCATGTTTTTTATGGAGAACAAGATGAAATATTTGATGAAGTTCCTACTTTTGATGAATCACATGATAAAAGGAAAGAAGTTATCCTTGAGACAACAATGATATCTAATTTTCTTATCAGTGGAGAGGTGGACAATTATGACTTGATCTCAGAGGTGATCCAGCCTATGGAAATGCATGACGAAAAGAATCCGATATCCAGCCAGTGGAGATATATGACGAAGTAACTGATGTATTCGTAATGACCCCCAAGGTGACGTTTGAGCAATTTTCGAAACTGCATATGGTTAAAAAATCGTCAGACAACGACCCTTTCCTTGAGGGTTTCCCAATTTCTAAGCACAATCATTATGCTTTGATCAGCGCAGTAACCCACAGGTTTCAGGATTGCGTTTACAACATATGGATCAAAGAAGAAGGTGGCAGGAATAATACAAAGTAAATCTTAGCGCACTTCAAAACTCAAGGTCGAATTTTCTCCAATCGAGGAAGAATAATGCATATCAAAATTTGGATGCTACAAATTTTTAATTTTATTTTTGTTAATTTTATATTTAAAGATGAGGGTAGACTTTTATTTATTTATTAAAAGAGCTAATTTTTAGAAATAGGATTTAATAAGGTTTTAAGGTCAATTTGATCAAGTTTATTTATTTTAAGCAGCTGCTTTTTCTGTGTTTTTTTTAGAAGTATAACTTTCTTTTTTTTAGACTTGTTCTTGTGCATAGTTTTTTCAAGGAAAATAGGAGGTTATCGACTTTAGGTTTAAGGTTATCGATTTTAGGTTTAAAGATGGTTGTCTCTTGTATTAGTTGGAAGTACAAGTGTTTATCTTTACTTTTTAGGAAATATATTTTGTTTTTTGTTTTAAAGGGACTGTTATCTTTTTCGGTTGGGTTAAAACTAGGGAAGATAATGAGTCAAGGATGAAGTAGGTAGTTTTAATTATCTTTTAGGAAATTGGATGGAAGAATATGGAAAGAATCTAGAGATAAATTTATTTTGGTTAATTATCATATTTTGCTTTTAAAGGTTATTTTTTGTGAGTCATCTGTGATGCTAATTTGAATGTATAAAAGAGAGAGGCACACACCATGTAAAGGAGATTGAATTTTATGAATGGAAAAAAAGTGATCTTTAAGATCGTGTAGAGTGAGAGAGATAGAGAGCCATTTGTGGGTGTTTTTTCTTCTCCTTTGCTTATGGGCCAATGCCAAAATACTCGTATCCTCGTGTTTTGTTCTTTCTTCTTGTGATTTCTTTCACGAGTTGTATTTCTCTTTCTTAAACACAGTTAATATTTGCTGGAGGTATTGCCGGTAAATTTTGTATTGCGTCATAATTTCACGTCCCATGGTCAAGATTTATTTTGATCA